CGTCATACACGACGTCGTATATGCCCCAATCGGCGTCGGTCCGGCGGCGATAAAAAAGAGGGAGCGACATTAGATTCGATATCCCGCCGAGATGCCGTTTAAATAGCGCGACACGCGTTGTACGCTCGCGCGACATCAACATTTTCCCTCCGCAATAACAGAGCCTGTGGTAATATCGATCCTCTCGCATTTGCCAGGCGATATAAATTACGCACGCGAGACACGAATATGATTCCTATTACGCTATTTTTCATGGCTCGTTGTGTCACCTTTCTTTACAACGCCAATGGCGTCCAAAATCGCCACGAGAATATTTTGAAACATTGTTTTAAATTTATTAAAATGATTATACTGCTTTTACCGAGCTAGAATAAAAGATAAAATTATTCTTTAAGGTCTTGGATTAATGTAGAAAACATGTTTTTAGAAAACAACGACAATGGCTATTGATAAAAAAAAAACAAGAATCACAATCTTTTTGCCTTGATATGCGATTTTATGTTATGTTTCACATTATATTTAGAAATAATTAAAATAGAATTATTTTTTCCAATATTTTTTCCTATCTTAAATGAAGGGGTGTGTATAAAAATAATTACGACTTTTTAACGTATCGTAATTGTGCGAATTGCAAAATTCCTAATCCGAATCGTGGCTGCACTCTAGCATTCGTTACGTATGCAAATAGAACTAGGAAATTGTTTTTGCTTCACTGTAATGGTGTTATAACCGCTACATTTATGTGCATTTTCGGAAGGCCGTTTGTTGAAATTTATGCGCCGAATAAATTTTATACACCACCCTTTCGCTCGTTCGCTCGTTCGCTCGTTCGCTTTTTAGCACAATGATGCGCACACGTGTTTGTTACGAATACTCTGTATCGAATTTAATACCTCATCGCGTATTTATGAAAATGGCACGCACTACGGGCGATGCATAATACAGCGATTTGTTTGATTTTAATTAATGAGTTGACATCCGTTCGAATTTGCGGCAGGATCCACAAATTGCATCTGACACGAAATTATTTCGCACAAGTGCGCAACGACGGCGATGTTAACTGATAATTTTGTCTGATCAATTGCTGTTGAAGATAGTAAACCCATAGACATGTTTTTTAATCGATTATTATAAACAAAATTCTTCTTTAATATAAATGTTATATCAATTAATTCAGATATAAACTTATAAAATCGCAATTACTTATTAAAAATTTCGCATGGAAATTTGTGAAATTATAATGTGCATCCCCCGTACATATTAAATCCAACGCCTGGTTGGGCGTTGAATAATGTAACCGTAAACGGGGAATTATTATAATAATAATAAGACACGTATTATATTCCGACAGAATTATACGGCAGAAATCTAAAAAAAATTATTCGAGCTTCTATCTAGTCAGTGTAGGATCTCTTCGAATTTTTTATAAATTTGTAGAACAAACGCACACACAGAACCGTATAATGTTATACGCGGACTTTTTAATTTCCCGTTCGCTGAAACGATGGAGCGAGGAGCGGTATTTGCCAAGTAAATGTTTGGAGAAATTTTAATATTGTTTTATATTATATATTTGGCTTGCAAGAGATGAGACATCGGTCGTACCGCCCGATGTGAAACAGCGATTCCGATTCATCGGGGCAGAAATTGCGGAGAACGTACTGCGGCGCGCTGACCATGTTATTTTACAGTCAGTTGTTATTTCATTTGGAAAATGAGAATCGCACATCTCCATCTTCTAATAATAACGGTCCGTAATAATTTTCTGACGATCGCGCTGTTTATTCTCGCGTACGCGCGTAACGGTGAGTTGCCGACCGACCAACCGACCGCATGAATATTCCTATAAGCAGCTGAATTGTGCTCGTCGGAAAATCTGTACCCTCCATATATTATATAGCGCGGTCGCGTTGAGTCGTTCACTGCTCCCGAAAGATAAAATATTCAGCTTTGATATGGAAACGCGTTATTACCATAACGTCATCGCGCGATTCGATTCCGTTTCCTGCTTTAATCAGCGCGATAAATCTAATACGCTTCGACCGTTAATCCGTTCCAAGTCGCACATAAATATGAATGGCACATACCGTTTATAATACAAATATATTTATATAATTTTTTATCTCGTGAAAATGTTACGTTGTAATATAATAATAATAACTGCAAACAATATGTGGTCTCACAAAAAAATTTGTCAGAAAAATTTCCAGAACTTTTGGCGATTACAAAATTGGCTTTTTGTACAATTACGTACAAAAAAGCTATTGATACATAAATTTGTTATATAGTATTTCGTTTTCAAAAGGTTTTGCTGAAGCGAATAGCGATGTTGAATTAAAAATAATTGCTCGATCTCTCGCCTGATGAATTCAAATAATAAAACGACCGAAAAATTGGGATTCTTTCGAGATATATCAATTGGAGAATGTAACGTGACGCGCCAGGGAAGATCGTCATTGATAAATGCTTGTTTGCTCCAGATATTGACACGCTATTGGCAATACGCCCATTGCCGGACGCACCACTTTTCGATCTCGTCACACGCCGGATTTTTATGTTCAATCGGGCGCTTTTTGCGCCGATGCGATGTTTTCTATCGCGCAAAATTGTTTAATATCAATCACATTTTAAGCCTTGGTTTCATTTGAAGAGATTAATGTTGAAAGTATTGGAAATCGATCCGCCATCATATCTCTCTATTATACTTTTCAATTTTGTATTTGTGTGTAATTGTTTATTTTTAATCAACCTCAGCAGCGATCCACAAAAGTTTTCAATGCTCATTTTTTCATAAATTGGCATTTATTAAACGTTATACCGTCGTCTCGACCATTTTCTTTCGGCAAGTTATTGAAAATGTAGCAAGTAAATTTGCTTAGTTAATTAATTAACTTAACGTTTAACGTAGAAACTTACTTTTGTCTTGACATTTACGGTAAGGAGACATTGACTTTAAATTTCCCAAAGAATTTATTATTAAAATTTTATCGGGAAAAATTAGAAAATTTCCTCTAAAAACAAGTATACAAAAGCAAGCAAGAATGAAAGCAAGCGTTGAACTTGGAGAGAAAAAGCTTCTTTTATGATTCTCACTCTCAAAGTGAGAAAGACAAAGATTATAAGCGCCGTGTCACATAACTCGAGGTCTGCTTGAAATGGATGAGGAGGCACTTTCGTAGATTAAGGACAGTTTGGAGTGGAGCAGCAAAATAAACGTTGGAGTACGCGGTGTCACTTCAAATCGCAATAAATGATGGATCGCTCTAGTCCAGGATATTGGCGCGCCAGGAAGAGCTTGAGGGGCGCATTATTCTTGCCGTAATCTCGACCGCATCCTCTCGCGCGATGCCGCAACGCGGGTAATTTACGCGGCAACTACTGTCCTTTTTTTTTCCTCTTCGGCTTCGCGCGCGGCATTTAAGCGCGAAAGGAATTCAAATGATATATAGGTCACCGTATCGTATGCTCTCCAGTGTGCCTCTATGCCTCCGGATTACTCTTGCCGGAGTCTCGCCCGTTTTGTTTCAGAACGCACGGCGCGGCTTTTAATTAGATTAATTAGATTAATTGCACCTGTGCGCGCATTTATCCAACTTCTCGTCGGCTTCCGCAAACGCATTTCTGTTATTTTTTTTTTTCAAATTCTCTTCTGTTTCGAAGTGCTGCCGGCGGTTTTGTTTAATTAATTGTTTTTTTCCTTGCTTCGTCATGTATGCGTGATACGTGCGTTTGCTTATGCAAGTGGTTAGTTACTCGCGAGTATTTCTTTTTATTTGTTTAGAAAATCTGTTATTTACCTGCATTCGTTAAAAGCGAAACGAAAGAAATAAAAAGAGGCATTAATATCGTGACGGAATAAAATCAGAATGTGACAGCTTGTCGTCCATCGCTCGAAACTTCTGCAATTTATTAAATTGAGCATCGATTAATCTAAATGAGTCTCGTCTCTCACACTCGACGCTTATACAGTGAATTACAGAGATTAGACGAAGTACCTTCGTCAAGTAACTCTGCTCGGAGTTTTGATCGTGTCGGATAATATCGCTACGACAATATATGTACGTTAAAGGCCGCATAGAATACAGAGAGAGGTATATACCGAGTAACCCGAACCCATAATGAGATAATGCTCTTGATGTACGTAATAGTTTCACGCATATGAGAGGAGATTTTGAATAGCCAAGTAGACGCTAATGAGAGAGTACGACGCGTTTAATCGAGTTGTCACGTTCCCGGAAATTCAGATCTTAATTAGAGTTCGCTATCGTTTTCTGATGATCATATGCATGACTTGGCAGCGAGTTAATTTATCTGGCCGCAAGACAGTAGCGTATACCGATGCTTCCAGCGTTCTCAGTTACTCGAGTTAGAATTTACTTATCTCAGTCAGCGCGAGGTTAATACAACTTGAGTTAATACAACTTCATCGGGTATCGGGGATGAGGAGCGTCTGTATCTATTATGGACTCTCCGATTAACCGATGTCCTGCTGCGGTAAGTGCGAAATTATTCGATCGTGTCCGGATCGGGGTATCTGGCGTGGGTAAGGCGAAGTCGATCGTATTTTTAGTTGCTATTTTTAGTACGCACTTGCGCCTGGTAAGTAGCGCAGAACGTTAGATTATTTTTAATTCTGGGAAGCAGTTTTGAGTGATTTCAGCGACGAGGATGTGGTTAGTCGCTAATAGAATTGCGAAATATTTATTGTGAATTTATTTAGCACTTGTCGCGTATTGAACGATTTTTAGAGTTCTGTATACGGAATAATTTTACGCTTACTCTGCAATTTTTATCTTTTCCAATGGCTTGACAATTCTCGACTAGATTTTTTTTTCGAGGTAAAAGTATGACGCGCTGTGTGTGCAGCTGTTTAATATTCGACAATTTTTGCTAATTTTCGGAAGTTTTGCATGCTGAAGACTTTGCTATACCTACACTTTCTCGGATTCGACCTTGTCGAATCGCTGTGACCTGCTATCGTGCGTTCGTTTCACTTACAGCGATGGCTTCCAACAGCACGAAACTTTTTCGAGGTCGCAGAAAAAAGAGGGAAAGGAAGATTAACCTAGTGACTGGACCGATACTGTGTAAGCCCTATGCGTCAATCCACCAAAAATCTTCGGCTTATCTCCACCCTGGCTTACCTACTAATTCGGAGTACAGCTTGTCAGTGAGAGAAAAAGAATGGGAATTCTTCGGTGGTTTCTCCCGTGTATCTGTGTTTCATCGAATACGGAACTTATTCGTATACTTTGCGCGGTGCAAGAGAATTCTGTGAAATATTGAGTCACTTATCGGATATCGAAAATATATCGGTTACATCGATAGTTTGTTCTGGCATTGGCAAAAGTACGATAGTATGAGCAACAAATGTTGCGCATAAACCAGATACACGTAACGTTGTTTTTTCCGAAAGGTCGACTTTTCATTCACGCAGCTTGAGTAGTTGAGTAGACGTGCGATTCACTTTTTCGGAAAAAACAATTTTGCATACATGTCGATCAATCATCTTCAGATTATTGTGCTTTGTTTGTCACATCGTCATCTCTCGCATCGCCATCTCTTCCTACGTCGCTCTGTCGATCTAAAGTAGTTATCGCAGAAGGGAACGTTTCCTCTGCGTGAAAAATAAACGTCTCTGCGTTGTGACACGAAACCGGGGCGGATCGAATTCGAAGCAGATCCACTGTATTTAATCTGAAATACAATATCGCGAGTGCGACAGGAAGATTTTTCACAGAGATACGCGAACACCCTCTCGTTTGCGAGGCGCTGTCGGTCGGCGGATTGTTATAAGGGCGTATACGCACACACGTCGTATGATATTCCGGCGCGGTGAGAAATTGCTGTATTTGACTTGCAAACGGGAATCCCGGTTTCGCCTTAAGCCTCGGGATACGGACGTTTATATATCTTGATACGTTCTAAAAGTTTCAGCGAAGTATCCCAGGCAAGCGGGGAATGTCTGAATCCGACGGGGAGGAGACACCTCTCTCGCTAGCACTACTGAAAACAATGGGGGCGGAAGTTTTCTGCCTCCGCTGTTCCTAAGTGGCGAGGGACGCTATATGGTAGGACAACATTCTCAAATCGATAAGTGCGCGCCGCGATATATATATATATATACATATATATACGGGAATATACGGCTAAAACGAAAAACGAATCACGAGGATTTCCTTTGTGCATTCGTTAATTTTAGCTGTAGGGCGTACTTTCTATTTCTATGTACTCGGCATCGAATTTTTACGAAGCAGTTTCGATTTCTTCCATCTCATTATCCGGTACGTCATGTATTGTGAACATAAAGAATATGCGATTTTATTTTCTACGCGTATCACACGTTCGTGCGTAGCACATGTATTTTAGAAGAATGTTACTGATATTTGTTATATTACATCACGTTAAGAGATTATTAATTAAACTTCAAATGAGTGTTATTACTTTTGTCCAGTGTTGCATCACGGTAATCCGCCAGTGTTTCTTACTAAATTGCTCGACTGTATTTACGGTGTTGTAGAGCTTAATTACTCGCCAAACACAATCCGGCCCGTTCCGTTTTCATGTTTACAGTCCAGCTGCATTCTGCAATTAGCGATGGTCACCAGGCTGATAACATTTGTGAGATCCAAATCAAATCAAAACGCGTTCGGCTTTGAAGCCTAGCGTTTGAATACTTCATAAACGGTATAATCATGGTTGTATTCGAAATGATCGCCCGACGAGATTGATTAACTTTTCGGAGAGGCGGACAACGTTTAAATCGAGGCCAGTCTAACGATTATCAGCTCTTGGTGCCATGCCGGTTTGAATATATTTCAGATTATCTTTGCGTTCTACACGTGCACGGCTATGTGCTCCATTTTCAATAGACAGAGATAGTATCGATCAAGCGCTTTGCAAGCGCTTGCAAGCAGATCAGGCGGACTAAAGAATAAATAACTCGCGATGTGCCGGAATCACTAACTGCAATCAGTGCTGAGTCGAATCACAAAACAAGAATCGTTTTACCCTTCCCAAGGGCCAGTCGAATAATGAAGTGGCACAAAAAGTTCCTCTATAACGGAAAAAAATGACCTTTTCCGCTTAATGAAAACATTCATGCACCCTATATGCGCGCGATCATTGAAAGAAGATAAAAGATAACGAGGGAGTTTTCTTTCCACCCGTGCAGCTGTTGTTTGTCAGTACTATTTACGTGAAGCATAAATTACGTCCCTAGAGCTAGTTACGTAATTATCTTGTAGCACTTGCAGTTCCCGCAGAATTTACGTCGGCGATTTTGCATAATGGCCGCGTTTCATACAAAGTGTGAGCCTGAGCTGTTCTCTAACAGTTTGGAAATTCGGCGAAAGTTTTAGTGTGCCAGTCAGTCGTGTAACTATATCGCAGTATGGAAACAATAGGGTAGTTAGATGTCTTGCGTTTGCGTCGCGCATCGGATCTTGAATTTTCCCCCGAACCTGATCGGAATACGGCATAGAATTTGGACGATTCGTCCAGAAAGAGGTCTTTGTTGTATACAACGTTTGCGTAATTTCGTGAGAGAAAGAGCGAAGAAAGACAAGAGAAGAGGAGCTAAGAAGTACAGCTCTTACATTTCATGTCAGTGTTTCGTCGACGTTACTTCGGGTAGAAAAGCGCCAGAAACGTGCGATAAACAGAGGAAGAAGCTGCGAGAGGAACGAGTCGCGTACAGAGTCGCGTGTTTTTTTTTTTTTTTTACGACAGTATATCCAGTTGCCCGCTCCTCGTATATGCTAAAAGACGGCTTTGAAACTCCGCCCCTTGCCGGCGGTGGTCGCCGCCAGTGTTTTCCTACGTCGACGGGATGCCACGGTCCACCCTCTCGCGACCCTTACACGCTATCCACCCTCGTATATACTTTGAAGCGCGCCGGGCGCGCTGCGGGAGTAATCTGAGAGCTCGGTATACACGGCCTCCGCGCAGGATACGCCTCATTCATAATTTACAGGACGCTGGAATACTAACGCGAGAGAGAGAGAGAAAGAGAGAGAGAGAGAGAGAGTATACCGCGCCGTTCCTATACGCGTTTCTGCGCCGTAGTCCACTCGCATATCCACCGCTATTCCCTGCATTTCACTCGATTGCTCTTATATATTTCGCTCTTTATTTTATATCTCGCGCGTTGCGAGCAATATTTTTATCAGAGTCATTATTAGGGTCTCACGATGACCTTTTGTCTACCTTTCTTTCGAGTTTTTTTAAGTGCAAAGCGCGATACATGTTCACTAGTTGCCGTTTTTACGCGTGATTCGTGTTTTCGCGTTTCTATCTCTTTAATATCTTCATATTCTAACGAGTTTATGCATGTTATAATGCTGGTATCTTTATTTTGCGAATTTTACACGTTTTTCTCTCATACCGCGCAGCAGGGGTGTTTCCATCGTTGTTATCATTATTACTTTATTCTTCGGATATTTATTACTGCGCAATTCCTACAGATATCGATCTACATTTTATTCTTGTAGCAGTTTTAAATTTTGTTTTATTTGTTGTACGATTGCTCTTTGTTGAGTTCTTTTTGTACAGTTTTGAAATACATTTCTCCCTTTAAAATGTTTCTGTATAACTATAAACCCAGAAGCGATTTAACTCCAATTCGTTTCTGGAATATACCAATACAGTTCTTGGCTTATGTTTGTACGAATCAAGAATATTGTTTTATATGTGTGAAAAGAACGTGCCATTATATTGTTTCATAATACGTAATATACAAGATGAGTAGCAAAGTGATTAATATGAGGGATAGAATATGAAATAAAATAATACATTTGACATCCCAAGTGTTAAGTTCTTTAATTCGGGATAATCTCCTAAGAACCTTTGTTTTTGTTCTCGAGAATGTGGTTTTGTTCGCCGATGACGCAGCATCGTAAGATCCGTCATGTCATTGCGGATACGTTCTTGTCGGCTTTCCGGAGGTGGCTATTCGATCCGCAGGAAATCGAGACGTAGATTACCGTGACCGAACTGACCGGTCAGTATCATTAGTGACAGCGCAGGCATCGAAATTCGGTTTGACGGAAATTGGATAACGTGACCACCATCGTGCCATTAAATGCCGGATCGTGGTGTGTAGCTTTGCGTGCTATGCCAAATGTCGCGGAGAATGCTCCACTCGATAAACGATGGCGACATAGAAGCAGGTAACGGACATAATGATGCTTCCGATAGCGTTATTATCATGAGAGATCCGCAATTTCGTCGATTCCTGAGATTCTTGCTACGCGAAATATCCTCGTTATTTTTCAGATAGTTTTTTTCATCATTTACGGTGTAAATAACAATATTACGAGGTAAAATGTAAATTTATTAATAATTTTATTTTAACACTTTTATTTCAATAGATGTAAAAACATCGAAAACAATTTAAGCAATTTTTGGTTCGAGTGCAGTCAACTGTTTTGTCACCTGACACGGTTTACTTGAGGAATTTTATATTTATCTTGTCAACACGAGAGAGACTATAGAAGAAAATAAAACGTTTTGCTATTTCCGTGTAAGACTACGTGCATCGGTCGGAGGATCCGTGAATTTCAACTTTAAGGCAGCCAAGAGGTAGAATTCTCGCGTTTGCGCCTCTATAAAATTAAATTGGACAGGTTCTTTTTATTTTCCACTCGAGCGTTGCCTCCTAGTCAGGCAGCTATCACGCTTCTTGTTTCGGCCTCTGGTATCCGTGACATGGAAGAAAAGACATTCTGGTGCGCTTTATAAAGCTCGATCCAAGCAGGTTTTAATTACGGCAAAGTTACGAGACGGCGCGGCGCGCTCTCTTTGCGAGCGAGCGGTTACTTCGTTACCCGTCTAAGATTGTCCGCGTCGTGGAGAAATTTAATTAGTCAGATATCGGGTCTCGCCGCTTGTCAAAAGTCCCTTATCGGCCTGTCCCCGTGATTCCCCGTCCCTTCGCTCGCCATATTGTCGTTCGGATTCGGATTTCTCGACAGATTGCGGACACCCGTACGACCGACCGGCTTGTTCCACTTGAAGTGATATCGATAACCTGGCGGCCACAAAACGACGGGAACCACTTTCGGCACGAAATATCTCGGCATTACGGCAATCTGTTGTATCCCTTGTTGTATCCATTTTCCTTGAATGAACAACTGTATCACATATACTAATGGAATCTCAATCCCTTTCGGCCCTCTCGAGTATAACACAAGTATCTTTCATAATACGGATGATTCGATGAGGACCGATCCGTAGCGTCCGATCTCCTTATCTACCATCTACGTTCATTCTAATCTTATTCTCTATAATATAAGATGTAAATCGCATTTTCGAAAAGGAAACTGCAAGGAGTTAGGAGCTGCATGATGAATCAAGTTAGCATCAAACGAATCATCCGATTATGTCACAGAACGTTTCGCGCGATCCGAGACGTTGACGATTTTGTGAAAAATTTAATCGCCGCAGTCGGGAGAGGAACTGCAAAGGACTTCGTGGTACATTACATCATATCGGCGCATCATCTTGTCCTGTGGGCCTATTCTGTAACTCTTAATGTTGACAGTTTCGTTATCGTTATATTTGCGTTGCGCGCAGATATTATATATGGTAGAAAAGACCTGCGCAACGAGAATATAACGATAACAAAACTGTCGTTAAGAATTACAGAATAAGCCCATTGTACGCGAAAACTAGTCTCGTGCGGTGCCGGTGCGGCGGTGTTACAAGTACGATAATCCGTGCTCGGTATGTAAATACACGAGATGACGGGATAAAATTCTAGGTATCTCCTGTGCGCAGCTTCCCGTCCGTGGTATCGCTCGCGAGGGGCTCCGAGATTTCTATTTAATATCAGCCGTACATAAATCGGGATTGGAAGTTTAACGCGCCGTCCGCATCGTTAAAAAGTCTTAAAACGAGCGTGAACTAATTACATCGCGATCGCTGCGATAAGGCAAACGGCAGGGAGATTACGAGCGCGTCGAAGTTTCGTAACGGACCTCCTCTTTTTCTCTCTCTCTCTCTCTCTCTCTCGCTCTCTTTCCTCTCCGGAGCGGAAAAAAATCGCAGCGATCTGATAATCGTGCGGTCGGCGACCACTTTTCTCCCCCGTGAAACAATCTAATTATATAACGGGTCCGAGCGAGCCGCGTGTATTTGCATATAGCGGGTATTCATATCGCGTTATTAGATAAGTTGATTATTGATCGCCTCATGATTATTTAGCTGACCCGATTCGAAATGCATAAAGCGAACGTTCGCGCGCACGAACGACCGGAAATGTCAATGGCAAACAATATTGCCCCCACGTAATGCGCGCGCCATTTCGTCGCCTGTCGCCTGAATGCAAAATTCACTATTCACTCAGCAGTCTGTTTTATTTGTCTTGATACTCATCTTCACGAGTGACAATCGTTACTAGTTTTGCGTTTTCATCATCTCGTACAACACATACCGAATTAAAGCATTTTTGTTTCAGCGACGGTCGTCTGTTAGAGGGAGATCAAATATTGGCGATCGATGGGCAGCCCTTAGACTCCAACATCTCCCATGAGCAGGCGATCTCGATTCTTCAGAAGGCCCGTGGTCTGGTTGAGCTAGTCGTAGCAAGAAGCGCCCAAGGTAATTACAACCCGCGTAATTAAACGGAATCCGCTTACACTGGGAAATGAGATCCTTCGCGTTCGATTTGCAAAGAAGATGATATCGGGTAACATGATTGTTGTAACCTCGAGTGTAATAGATTAATTTCAAGGATATTTAGATAATCCTTAACAACATCGTTTGCATTTGGATTCCGTAAAATTTGTTTCTCTTCATCAAGGCACAACCTCGTCCTTGCAATTTCGCAATTTGCACGAAAGTAACGAACGTTGCCTCTTGCATGTAACAAGAACGACAGTAGTCCAGGACTATTATAATACGCCCTCGGCGATGCAACATTGTCCATGGCAGCATAAATGTTTATTTTCGTTGAATTCCTCGCGCCGTGAAGAGTTAAATTAGTTTCGTTAACTTTTTTCTGGCCCGGTTGTTGCATATGGAATAGCAAACTCGTGCTGGATTGTCCATGCGTGTACATGGTGCGAATAACGCAGTTGCTTCGTGGAAGCAACGCTTTTCACCGATGTTAACTTTTATTACTTTATCCAATCGAATTTCATAAATATGTTAACAATTTCGCAAAGTTGATCAAAACTTATCATTCAACATATTAATTCTTTCAGCGTTAGTCTCGCTTATTTTCTTATTCATTAAGTTCTGGAAATTTATGTGCTGAAACCAAAACTTCCATAAAAAAGTTAATTATTAAAAAGGTTAAGTGATAGCAGAAACTTGTCGATTAGACTTCTAGGAGTTCTTCGCCCATTAATAAATTATCTCGAGTCATTTCATGCCCGAGAAAAATATGGTGACTCTAAAATCTACATAGTTTTTTATTCAATATTTTATTTACGTTCTGGTTGGTACTTGAAAATTTTTCGGAAAGAGAGTAAATCTTTATAGTAACTTTTAAGTAACTTTTCTGAGAAGCTGCAGTTTAGCAGTTACCATTACTCCTCATTGGAGTGCCGTCGACGCGAGTGACGTCGTGCTCGAAATGGTTAAATAACGGACGGAACGGTCTGTACTTGCTATTGACAGACGTTGGGAGCTCTTTGCCAACGGATGAATTGTCCGGTGGTTCGAGTTCGACAGCGGCCGCAGGAGCAGCGTCGTCCATCGTCGGCGGCGGCGGCGGTGCCGTTGCTGGGAACAACCAGACAAGCTCCGACAAGGATCAATCGGTGTCAGCATCGTCCACCGTCGTTACACCGGGACCGACTCCGAAGTCAAGCCAACCGACCAGCACCACTTCGGCGGCGACACCGACGCCCACGAATACGCCAACACCTACGCCGACCCCGACACCGATACCTGGAGGCCTCGTTATCGAAAGGAGCCCCTCCGCCGTCAGCGACGCCTCCAAGAGTGGCTCTGACATGGTGGTGAGTAGCCGCCCTTTTTTTTCCTCTCTTCCTCTCCAACCTCAACCCGCGTTCCTCAGGACGCCTTTTTCTTTTTTTAGAGAGCTTCGTATGACGCGTTGTTTATAATGCCATAATTAGCGACTATCTTATAGATCTGTAACTTTACAGCATTGACGATACGTGCCAGCGTTGCTGATCGAACCATAAAACAATCATCAGTTGCGTACTCAACGTTCGTTTAATCAAAAAATCGAAGATTTTTCAGACGTCTCAGAGTACAGTAAACTAAAGTAGAAGTTATATATGAAAAAAAAAGAAAATTCTCGTCCACCAGCAATTTCTCATTTATAATCAACGCGGGTACAATTATACTGATATCCTTTTGCGTGATCATTTTTCATTTCAATGGTGCTTTTTTCTTTTGTTTTTTCTCCTCTTTTCGCTCGATCGAAAGCTACCCGGATCTTTTCTCTCGGTAGAGACTATATTGTGCTGAATATTTCTCCACGTAAAAGGATGTTCTTCATTGGCTCTTAATAAGCGCGCTCCTCTCTCGACAGCCTTCTTCTTTTATCGTGTAGCTCATAGCCGGGCTTTCAGGCCCGAGATCGTCTTATGCCGACAAACTCCCGCGTCTTTCTCTCTCCCTCGAACTCGAGTGTGCTTCATCCCGAAAGAAATATTTGCGTCGGAGCCGCTCAAAGTGGTGCCGATAAAATCCCGATCGATAGCCCCGGCATAATTGCCCTCATTTGGACACCCTTCCACAGCACATTCCTCCTTTTTTATCATTTTCCTGCCTTTTGCCGCGATAATAGGAACACCGGCTACGACAGAAATAGAATTATTGGTACAGCCTCGCCAGGATCTTGAGGCAATAGTCCCACCGATAATATTTATCTTGTATCTGCGATGTCGGATGTCGTGGACATTGAGGAGTATTTTTCGGCGAAATGTTGTTATTAATTTTGTGCCGTATTTAAGAGAAGATATTCTTTCTATTCGCGGGTTTCCCGTTTCCTCCAGTGTTATAGAAATTTAATGAGAGACCCTAATGGATATATATCGCTGTAGAGAGACTCTCAACTTTTCCTGACATCCAATAATTTTATTAACGAAAATATTATTTATTTTAGCTGATAAGCGGTATTTTTAACGGTACGGTAAAAATATTATTTATATTTACGTTGTTAATATACGTTGCTGCACTTATAAATCATTACGAGTAATTAAAGTAATATTTTAGTGTGTTATTGCGAGCGTACTTACTGAATATATTTCAAAAAGTAATTTTAAATAGTTATATGCGCAGTTTTTATTCGAGAGAGTTTTCGATTGGCCGCCTGAACGTTCGCCGTAGCCATTTTTCTTGATTCCTCGACATTCGATATATCTGAATCGAGTTGTTTTCTTTTTTTTTTCAATCGTAGATAAATTGGGCGCCCGTTCGCTCTTTCCCGCTTCTGCCCTCCTCCTACCTCCACCTGTCTTCGGGCGCGATAATAGGAACAAGCGGCGGCGGACGCCTGCGACGGAAATAGAATTATCGGTAAAGAGTTTTGCTGACGCCCTCCGGGGCAATGCCGGCTCTCTCTCTCTCTCTCTCTCTCTCTCTCTCTCTCTCTCTCTCTCTCTTTCTCTCTCTCACTGCGGGTAAAGTTTGCGTGATCTTCAAAATTTATCGTCCATTACCGGCGAGATACCGTAGAATCGTTTATCCCCGCGGCGATGCTATTTCGATGGAACATTTAATCGTAACAAATTGACACTTCCCGAGCTCGTATTAGATCTATGATCCCACGTGCTCTTCCTGCGCTTTCAGCGTTGCCCCGTAATCAATTTTATCCGACGAAAGTGGAACGGTTTTTGCGAATTAACGCTTTTTCACTGCTGCTCAAAGTTTACACACGGTACGTCGGGCAGTTCGTGAGAGCGCCCGTTATATATAAAAAGGAGTAACGAGAATTTAATTGGAATTTAGTGCAAATCAAAGTTTCAGACATTGAAATCGAGTATAGCTCAGTATTAATCGTTGTTTGATTCTGCCTTATGAAGGAAAATCGCGACAATTACAGAAAATACATTGATAGGATTTACGATAGTGATTTATAATATTTATTAGTTCGTAAAAGATACATAAAAAATTTATAATTAAGACTTGCAATCGAGTGTCATATGTCATTATTGAAGAGAGAATCGTGAATATCAAAGATTTACTGTTTATATATTTATGTCAGAAAGTTTTGAAAGCATTCGATCGCGCATATCTGTCTGTACATTTATTTTCCTATTGTCATTAACCAGATGTCATACTCGATTGACGGGAGGTCGATGATTTTCTCATGACATTGAGATAAGAATAGGATTACGGATGAGGGCTTCCGGCATTGGCAATAGAACTCGACGTGATCAATTGTACAAACTTTATTATCGATTACATTATAGCGCGCTACCGAGGTATTATAATACAGTATATTTTTCCAGTCTTTTCCAATTCCTGGTACAGGAGATATTAAATTGTTTTGTAATACCTTTAATGTTTTATCAATTACTTTATCGGTTCCAATAACAAAGTTGTCTTGTACGTCATTAATAGTTACATTTAACGTGTAATTTAAGCTAAAAATATGTGTATCTTTTGTATCTTATTAGTTCAACAATCTTGTATTTTTATGAAATATCCTTATTATATTCTAAAATATGTATGTCTATGATAAAGAAGAATATATAATATATAACTGACTTTCCACATTTTAAAATTATACGGAATAATATTTTTATTAAATATCTTCGTCACAGCCTAAAACTATATTTAATATTTAGAATAAGAAAAACTATATATTTGACCCACCTACTTTAAAATTATACGGAATGAACAGAGAGGAAATCGCGGTAACTGTTCTAAATTGGTTTAAAGTACGAAATATTATTGTGCAGTTAATGTTGTCTCTTTCAAAAGAATGGAAAGACTGACATCGTAATACATTCAGCACTAACCGCGATTGATTATCGGTTTCTTCTTCTGCATTTGTGACAAGGAAAAGTACTCTCGTCGCTACGTCAGAAACGGAGCTTCCAACGGAGCTTTACTACTTATCCCAAAACTAATTTCGGTCCGCGAGGAAACGATTATCGGATATACGAAGTTCGGAGAGTATCCTGCCAGCAGGTCTTTAACGATCCTGACGTGACTCGAGTCCGGAGCGTCTCGCCCGAACGAGTTTCCAGCTTCGCGATCCGGTAAACGCACGCGTCCGGCCGCGTGTGTTTAATCTTTCATCGGTGTAGGAGTACGCGCCCATTGCACGTGTACACACATACATACAACGCGCGCGGACACGCCACGGGCACGCGTTTGCACGACACCCGCAATGTAAATCACTCCCGGCCTTGTCCCTCTGTCTCTCCGTTTCTCGACCCGGCTTTCGTTCCGGTCCGCGGGTGCGCCGGAAGCTCTGGGATCCGAGGGAACATCCCGCGGTTGCGTCGCGTCGCCGCGCCGCTCTCTCGCAGCTCCATATGGCGCGCGGCGGTCCTTGTGTTTGCATGAAGCCAATTACCGGATCATAAAAAATTCATCGCGATTCGCGTTTTAACGAACCAACAACTTCGCGTTCTCCTCCTTAATCTGAAGGACAACTGGGTGCAACCGCCGCACCGGTAAAAATGCTTTAATTAAATCCGTCCAATTGTCTGATTGAAACGCACTCGAACCGGCATTTCAAAACTTTTCTTCCGATAGTAACCCCGTCTTCCACTTGCGACTCTGTCTCTTCGCATATTTCTGAGCGTCCGGAAATGAAAGGATTATCTCGCACAATAAACAGGCAGGGGGAGAGAGCAATATCGCGCTCCGAACTGAGTGCTTTCTCAAGGAAAGCAGAGATTCTGGCAATTAAATTTCATTAACTTTCTTTTTCACAATATCGCAATACCCACGGGATACCCACGGAGGTAAACGATGAAAAATTGATCGAAAATCTTGGCTGCAATTCCCCGGAAATTACGGGCCATTGTAACCGCGCCTGTAAGAGCTATCGGAAATCGGAACGTTAATATTAAACAGCTCGTTAATTGTAGCCGCGTGGACGATAACGAAGCAAACTCTGGAGAACCAATCAAATTTAATGATCTACTATGTTACGGGCAGAGATTAATACGTCGCTTCTGCTTGTTATTTTATTGATTTTAGGCAGAATGCAAGTCATTAATTAAAGAAACGTAGTAGTGTATTGGTTTTACGATTTACTTATTATATTTATGTGGTCACTCGAAAACGTTAATTGCTCCATTTATTATAATTATTCTAAATCTGTTTTCATTCTAATTATGTTTAGCAATTTTTTACTATTGTAATTATAGTTGCAATAATTTTTAAACTAAGAAATATAACCATAAAGATCGTATATAATATTTCGAAAAGTTTCAAAGTATTTTTACACGTGAAGAAATATCGTCTTAGCCACGTCAGCATTTTGCAGCTGACGTGAGATATCGACGTGACAAACCGAATCCTTCATCGTTACTGAAAATCCCAAGTAACCTTGTTCGTTTCGTTAAATTCGTTAACGTATGCCACGGTGGAGCAGATGCTACGCGCTATCATTACTCTTATTTTCCGCCATCTTACTTTGTTCTCATTAACCCAGTCTTTATCCAGTTCGAGCTGTCGTTGAAAAATTTTCTTTTTGTATATTTACAAAGTTAAAAACGCGTAGAAAGGGTATAGGATACCCGCAAAAAATATATTTACGGAGAAATGACTCCGAAGTTATATTATATGGAATTTATTTGTATTTCGCGTGCTCTCTGATAAAATCTTGCCGCAACGTGGTAACTAAATCCCAAACAAATCAGATTGAATAAGAGACAATCATACTTCTAAGGTGATATTAAACCATTCAAAGTTAAAATTAAGAAGTAGGGAAAGAAAAAATGTATATTTTTCGCAATTTTTTCCGTCAACAAATTCGTTGTTTAATAATTCATCGCAATAAAAGTTTAATGAAAATGTGGTATTTTTTCGGAGTTTGATTTTACGTCACCCGAATTCATTCGGGGGGAGGAGGTGATCGATAATATTATTAAAGTTTCGTAACGAAGGGCGGGACTCTAAGATGTTTTCGTGTTCTTTTTGCTCGCAGTTGAATACGGAATGGGCTCAAGTTGAAGTGATAAATCTCATCAACGATGGCAGCGGTCTTGGATTCGGCATTATCGGCGGACGTAGCACCGGCGTCGTCGTCAAAACCATTCTTCCAGGAGGCGTTGCCGATCGCGTAAGTAAATCGAAAGCTAATAATTCCCTCCCATTGGAAGCATCTAAATTCTTTGTAGAAGCAAAATAGTTTCAAAGATATTTTTAGCGACATTTACGACTATATAATTGTCCGTAATTTGTGCGTAAAGTTTCCGCACGTGTGTTATTATCAATATGGGTTATATATCGCTTTCTCGATAATTCGTTATATTACTTTTATCGTAGACCTGACTCTTAACAAGTAAATCTCGTCGTTAATCATAGGTTTAACTTTTGATAAGTTGCCCACTTAATCATACGGCCGCGTCGCGTGCACTATTATTCTTTTCCCTCGAACTTTCGCGCTTTATTATAACTCGCACGCGGGAGGTCTGTAACGCGCACACGATACAGAGTACCTATCGGAGATAGATCGGAGTTTTGCATCAAACGTGCATGATCCCGAGCTGCTTGGAAACGGACGAGGAAATGACAAGCGCGGTGGCGAGAATGATCCGGAACGTCAACGTTTGCCCTCCGGACAACAGGCCGCGGAAATTAAACGCTTCTCCTCGCATTGTTTGCCCGCAGGATAATCGACTCCAGAGCGGGGACCACATATTGCAGATCGGCGATGTCAATCTCCGTGGGATGGGAAGCGAACAAGTTGCCGCGGTTTTACGACAATCCGGCACCCACGTGCGACTGGTCGTCGCGCGACCTGTGGAGCCGACTTCTCCGGATTATCAGGTATCTTCACTTCCGCAATTTCGCGTTTGCGATCGCGATTAATTACGGGCGATATTGCTGTGCCCTTTATTTGTTCCGAGCACTCGAGAGGTCAAGTGTTGCGGAATAGCTTCAATAATCCGTCGATTACATTGTCTCTAATGAGCTTCTCTTGTTTGCTACCTTTCTTCTTGAACATTCGGAAATATAAGTAACTAGAATATATCAAAACCTGATAAAATTATAATTGAAAATGTAGACTTGCTTTATTTAATTTTTATCTATCCTGTTTTTCTTTGAGAAAAAGATAACATTTCTTGTTTTATTTTGCGCGCACGAAATCCAATAGATAGTATTTCCTCCCTGACTCCAGCGGCGTGCAATTACTATTATTCGCTGGTAACTTCTACCTAATACATTTTTAAAACAAGCTGCAATTCTCTTTCCGTAAGAATTGCGTAAGAAGCGAGGAACATTATCCTCGGATAATGTTTAAAATTCGGTCCATTTGTTTGGCTGCACAAATTAGAACGCATGTCTGCGTTCCGCAAAGGTACATATTTAGAGTAGCCGAGTTAGGTGCGCGATGTGAGCCATTAGATTCCGATGCGAGGGCTTAGGATGTGTCCGTCGGGTTTGAAGATTGATGGTACGGGGTACGGCCCGCGTACATCATTGTCGGGGCATCCTTATTGACTATCGCGAGCGGGGTTTCAGGCCGGAGCTTCACGCACGAAATTCCACTGCGAGCCATTAGAACGATGCATTACATTTGATCTGTCGACTGCAATGCGATCGATATCGCCGGATAACCGCGTCCACGAATATCCCGCGATTTTCGCTAAAGTTCTCGGGAGCGGGGCGGGTGTTGGCCGCGAAGAAGAGCGCGCGACTCGCGAAGCAATTATACAGGGTCGCGGTGGTCGAGGACCGACTGTAATTCGGGGATTATGAATAGTGCATGAGGTATTTCACGAGGTGACGGGGTTCTATTATAGAGCAGAACGGACTCCGGAATTTCTCATACGCTCGAAATCGCGGAAGATGGAAATTACTTCGCCTCGGGATTAAAGTTGAGAATCCCAGCGACAGCAGCCGCCGGCGAGCCGAGTTTATCTTTCGCTACAAATGAGTTGTTCATCGTGTTTCAGCGAAGAGTCGCGTAAATAACGGTCGCGTTATAGCGAAATAGCAAAATAACTTCACGGCCTTTAAATAAATTAACTATCGGACATTGTTGTCCGGCTTCTGTAATAATTCAACGTGTAACGTGGGCACGGCTCACGGAAACAAAGTATCTTCATTATTCGGTGAGGTCAAGTAAATGCAAAAAAAAGAGAGAGAAAGAAAGAAAAACGTGGAAGCGTACTTACCTTTTCTGCAACGTTCCGAAATGATTTTTCCTGGTTTTCCCTCGTAGGCTTTCAATTTTTATCGCGTTTGATCGATATTTGTATTCCAGCTCCGCGTATAATTCCGGCTGTCGTTCCTCGCGCGCATATTAAACAATCGGTGACCTGGCTCTGCCACGGAACAGGAATCCTTCCGTTGAATATTTTTTTCCGAAAGGGTTGTAAATATCACTTGTTGAGAGGCACCGTGAAATTCCCTCGAGACTTGTCACGAGTGTTGCGAATCGAGATAAAATCCATTGTGACATAATCTCCGACACCTGTAAAAATGAAAAAAGGAAGAACATAAAAAATTATACTTTACGAACCAGTGGCGTGTTTCGGACGTCAGGTCGATCGCACGATCCTTTAATTTTCAATTGACCGTAAAAATCGTCGGAAATGATATCTTTTTCAGTCCGATAGCAAACATTATCATCTTTTTTACTCATTCTTCTCAATGAGGTTTGCTTTTAGTTAAAAGAGTAAAATAAATCCAACGGTATGCAGCTCGGCGACCGCGTGCAAGCGCTGGAAGCGCGTAATTGTTATTCCACGCACAATTCGGCGTAACCTTTGCGAGAAATTCTGCGAGGTTCACCGGGAAAGCTGGGCGTGGTCAACATTTTTATTTACTCGGATAGATTGAAATTTCCACACGGTTGGAAATTCAAAATTCCGGAAAACACGCCCGTCGCGCGACATAGAAACGCGCGCTCGTTTCTATAAATCCGAGGGTTGGGAAGGGCGGAGGCCGTAGGCGATGGAACGCATAAAATTTCTCGTTCCCCGGGTACTTGCAGGCACTCGGAAGTCACGCCCCGATCGTACCAACGAAAATCCTGGGGGACCCGGACGAGCTGGACAGACATCTGGTGCACAGCGTGCCAGAGAGCTACAACATGCGACACGTGCAGAGGGGCGATGCCAGCTATGACAACGGCTACATGTACTCGCAGGAGTCCGACATTGAAATGCACGTGAGTGTCGGCGCCGGAGACGGCGAATCGTATCTCTTTTCGCGTTCGCGACGCGCGACCCACTTTGAACTCTCCTTTTCCACGCGACACGCGGTATCATATTCTCGTTATCGAAGAACCGCGACACGTAAAGGAATGTTTCTCTCCCTTCACAAGGCAAGACCCGGTCTCATCATGGACGTGGTACGCAACCCAATGCCAATTGGAGCGATGCCAGTTATACCGGCGGTGCCACTTCCGGTGCAGCTCCAGGATCTCCCGGTGCTCACCATGGAGCCCCTCGACATTAATTCACTGCCAGAGATGGAGCGTTTCGAGGTCGATCTCACGAAGGACGCTTACGGCCTCGGGATCACTATCGCTGGATATGTTTGCGAAAAAGGTAAGGGAGCCCGGCACCACGGAGATTAATGTCCATCGAGTGCTTTTGACGTTTTAAAAGCATGCCAAAGTAGCTATAAAGAATTGTGCATTCGAAGTATGCGGACAAGTTGCGATACCGCTGTTTATGCGGGCAAAATCGGTCGGATGACACTCTTGGCGAACTGAATGAAAATTTTCGATTCTCTCTTGCAGAGGAACTCTCTGGAATCTTCGTTAAGAGCATTAGCGAGGGTAGCGCGGCCGACTTGAGCAATAAGATCCAGATTAATGACCGAATAGTGGAGGTCGACGGCCACTCCCTGCAGGGCTACACTAATCATGAGGCCGTTGAAGTGTTAAGGCGCACAGGGCAAACGGTGACCCTCTGCTTGGAGCGATACCTTCGTGGACCAAAGTTCGAGCAGCTTCAGCAAGCGATCGCCGCAAGCGAGTTGAGATTACCTCAACCCAGTTCACCATCAATAACGAGCCTACCTAGTTTCCCCATGAGCGCGGTACGTTTAATTAACAATTGATCATAGCCATTTAACAAATAAATAAACTTGATTAAAAAAAGTGAAATGTATTTTTGCATTAATTAAATATTGTTTCGCCATCATGTGTGTTATAGTTTTATATATTTACTCATATTTAACTCATCATCTGCGTATCGGAAATTTGCTAATTATAAACTTCAAAATTATACATTTTAATTATATTTTCGCGTTACTGGAGTTATTAATTATTGAAATAATTAATATAAAACTTTAGTATATTTATTTTTGCGCGTTGCCGAAAGCATTGCATCTATATTTGCGTATTTTTCCAGGATGGAGAGACCACCACTGAAATAGAGGCGGAAGGTGAATCCCATACTACCGTGGACAGCGCGGTTCTGCAGGAAGGAGAACGTTTAAGGACGTCTGATGAACACGACGAGGCGACCAACGTTGAAGCTTTATTGAGCGATCCATCAAGCGAGCTTACGCCTCAAATTCGCGCGGCGATCAAAGCGAAATGGCAGAAAATTGTCGGACCCGATACTGAGATAGTGGTAAGCACCGCAATCTCGTCGTAAAATAAGAGCGAGCAGAGAAAGGATGTCTCTTTCGTTTCTTTTTTGTCCAAATAGGTCGCACAGCTGAAGAAGTTCGCCGAAGGTAGCGGTCTCGGGATTAGCTTAGAGGGGACGGTCGATGTGGAGAACGGTCAGGAAGTAAGGCCTCATCATTATATACGTTCGATCCTGCCGGAGGGCCCCGTCGGACAAAACGGCACCCTGCGCTCCGGTGACGAATTGCTAGAGGTTATCGAATTTCCATATCTTTTTAGCGAAGCTTTAACTCGTATAGTATCCTCTCCCTTCTAAAGTGCTCGATAAAAATGCTCTACTTTCACGAGCAACGTGTCTGAAATCGATACCGTGCTCTCTTGAAGGTAAACGGCTACCGTTTATTGGGCATCAATCATATGGAAGTGGTTAGCGTGCTGAAAGAGTTGCCTATACACGTTCGCATGGTTTGCGGAAGAAACATCGCCTCGCAAGATCCACTTTGTCCTATCGACACCGCTCAACATCAGGCCGCTTTCCAGACTAGAGTGAGTATACGGAGTGGCCGCGACGTCGCGCTTTAAGAATCAGCGCGAAAATCTATGTTATCTCGTAGAGCATCCTCGGTGGGTCTCTGCAAAACTTGTTGCCCACGATGGATCGCCTTGTGAAAGCAAAGTCGGACGGTTCCTTGGCTTCGACGACGACCACGGCCACGGTGACTGACGCGAGTCTAAATAAAATGAAGTCGCGCTCGTTGGAACCGCTAACCGGTCTGGCGATGTGGAGTTCCGAACCGCAAATTATCGAATTGGTTAAAGGAGAGAGGGGCCTTGGGTTCTCCATTTTGGATTATCAGGTGTGAATCGTCTTTCCGTAGCACGCGTGATTCTTCGCGATCTCGATGAGAATCTGCAGTAACCTGTTCGACCTGTTTTCTTTTCCCGCTCGTCTTCGCTTTTAGGATCCAATGAACCCCAACGAAACTGTGATAGTAATACGATCGCTCGTGCCCGGCGGGGTGGCACAGGTCGACGGGCAGTTAATACCGGGCGATCGGCTTCTGTTTGTGAATGACATCGGATTAGAGAACGCAACATTGGACCAGGCCGTGCAGGCCCTCAAAGGCGCCCCGAAGGGGACCGTTCGCATCGGCGTGGCCAAGCCGCTGCCAATACCAGACAGTATTGTCCAGGTGAGCGATCAGGACGACCGAGCCGAGGCTACGAGAGATAGAGACACCGAGGCGGTAACGGCTTTCTCAATCGTGGATAGTCACAAACAGAGACGGGAATATTTCCGCGAGCGTAAGATTAATGTGACCGAGCCGCCGCACATGGATTTGATCGAGGGCCTGAAGCATCAGCACAACCTCGTCAAATCCGAAAGTTTTTAATTAGGTCACTCTGATCGGACCAGTAGACTCAAGGCTCTTGCCTCTGCTAAATTTCACCGCGGTTCGCGTGTCTTCGAGACGGTCGACGGTGCACAGCCGAAGTAACGCGCAATCGAATCATTCTCGGTTCAGCTAACCGTATTCGATCACTGCGCTTGCAAATCACGAGCGGATTTAACATTTCTCTCGTTGATTAAACAGAACGTAACGTGCGCATCTGAATACATATTTTCTAACGAGATTCCGTCCATAAAAGTGAAGTAACCGTCCTTGCATTTCATACATATATACTAAATACGACATCCATACATTTGTGAATGTCGTCGAATAATACGAGCATGAAACATTGTGTTCCATTTTGTGTATTAGAAATCACAAAAATTTATAAACCTGTCAGTCTCTCTATATGTTGTTCTTCTCTTTTTTTTATCACGCGCACGCACAAGTTTGTCGTTTGGTGAAATTGGCAGAGTGAACTTTGGAGAAAATAATTTGTATAATGTTAAAGGATATTTTAATACTTGCCATTTTCGTGCGACTGTTTTACAAGACACCAAAGCATAAATTTAGCACATTTTTATGGAATAATAAAAGATTGAATCGTGTTGGTACTTTTAGAGCTATGGTAATCCGCAAAAATGTTTATAAACCTGCATGAACGTAGACCATTTGTGTTAAGTCTGTCGTCATCTCATATTTATAAACCAAGTATATTTTATAGCAGCTACTCTTACGTTACCTTTTTCTTTTTAGATATGCAAATGGTATTTTATATACGCAATGACTGATTTTTTTAGATTATTTGTACACAGTTTTTTATATTCATTTTTAGCTAATTGCGAATTTGTGCAAAATATTTATGGTTTATTTCAAATACGTTGTTATCGATATTCGTTGTGGGGACAATTTTATCTTGTCAAATTTTTCAAGGCAATGTACATCAATATTCACCCACGGCAATGCACCAGGAAGCGTTCAATGTGCTTTGCATCTCGAACTGTGTTGATTTGTATGTTTCAAAATGATCATTTTGTATTGTATTTTTCGCCATTACCATTAAGTTTTTATTCTGTAATTACGGCACACCGCAAAAGGCGTATTGTCTCGGTAATCAGCATAAAAAACTATTTATCGTACTGTGCGATTGTTGGCAGCTATCTCCCGAATTTTCGCAAGTATTTTATCCATAGGTGCTAATTTGACATGGCAGCGTATTTACTTGCGAAAGAAGCGAGATGAGTAATTGAATAAAAATTAATATACCTTGATTGGTAATTAATTAAAAAATATATATATACATATAATTTAAGCGTCAATAAAATTTTACGGTATGCATGCACACCAATAGAGTATCATATGTTATTTTATTTTGTTTATCATTGTCCACACCACCCCGTTCTCCATCAACTCCCGTTCTTTATGCGTTCGTCACCTGTGCTTGTTAAATCATGATTTAATCGTTTGCTTTTCATTTCAGCTCGTTTACCCGCGCGCTACACTCTTCATTTCTAATAGTATATTTATATTTAACATTGTAATACACACTTATGTAGTTCTTTTGTGCCGCGTTCGTACCGTTGCAACCGGAACATCCATAAAGACGGCCAATAAGAACGGCGAAGCCTAATACTTTACGAGGCGGCCCTTGGCGTTATTCCGGGGCGCGGCCAGGCGTTTTTGAATGATTTATGCGATACCTTCGGACAAGATATACCAGCCGACAGGCAGACCTTTTCTCGCTTGGTTTCATTTGACTCCCGACCGAGGGAATCACGCGTATTTCCTTCGGGATGCGGCCCACGTCGTGGGATAAAGTGAGCTTCATCGCGAGGTTTAAGCACTCGCCTCTCGCACGGAGAAAATAAAGCGAAGGAGGGATCTCCAATTCTGGAAATCCCTTCGCGCGTGATTCGTTCATCGAATTGCGGAGCAGGATTTGAATTGTGTTAAAGTGTGTTAAAGTGATAACAATTGCAATAATACATTATATATTTCGTATTTCATGTATCTGGGATAGAAAGAGAAACACTCGACGTTTGATAGAAATTGTCGAAAGTATGTATCTTTTATGCAGAGTTGCAATTTGTACATTTGCAAAAGAAAGTGTGTCGATGTTTCTCTTCGGTTCTAGGATTTGGAATATTGCATCAATTATGTATGCATCTTGATGCAATCGCCTTTGTAATCTCGACGTAAGAAACTGATTGAAAAAAAGATCGGAAGATCATGCATACGCAACTTTTAATATTTCTTATACATTATGTAGACAGCTGTCTCAAACAAATCGGTCCATTTTGACCAGTATAACTGATAATCCTATACTCTGCTCCTACACAATATAATTCCATTATATCCAATAAACTTTCGATGAGTTTTGTACTTTTTTGCGGTGGTCAGTCGGGAGAAAGAGAAAAAAAGAATGAAAGGTCGGACGTTCGGCGAGAACGTGAGAAGTGTACAAATATTTTTCGGCGCCGCACAGTCGGTGCCAGAAAAGAAATGAAGAAGCGCTAAAAATGCGGCGTACAAAAAAAGAGAGAGAGAGAAAGAGAGAAAGAATGAAAGATGAGAGATGGGTGCGAAAGAGATTTTTTTCGGTAATAGCACTCTGTGTTTACCGCGGATGGGGTTTATGGTATTGTCGACCATCATACAAACTAAGTAAGTACAGAACAAAACGATTGTAATAGTGAATGAAAGTTGCCTGGTAGAGTAGCTGAACAAAACAATTTTATTGCATTCGACTGACTTCTCTCACATACTTCCAAAATTCTGTCGAACTCACGAACACACATGATCGTACTAGTGATCTTTGTTTAGCAAGTTGCAAGTTCGTTTTGAGAAATTATAATTTCTTTGCAGTATGTTACATTTGCCATTTGTCTCTTTGCAGTCGGGCGAGTATGAGAGAAAGAGAGAGAGGGGGAGAGAGAGAGAGAGAGAGAGGGAGAGAGAGAGAAAGAAAGAGTGAAAGACATATATAGATAAAGTAGTTTTTTTAAATAGATAGTCGATATTCGAGACAAGCGAATAGCAAATATGTGAATGCGAATTATGACTGGGAGAATGAGAGAGTGAGAAGTTGAAACACAAAAGAGACAAATAAAATAAAAGGAAAAGAGAAAGGTAGAGAGTGAACGAGAGAGAGATTGAAACGAGAGGAATCGATGTGAAAGGGAAAGCGCGAGAGAAAGAATGATTCGAACCGGCGGCAAAGTAGCCCGGGGTGAGAGAACGTAAAAAGAGACGAAAGAGTGAAAAGAGGGGAAAAGAAAAGACAATGAGAAATATCGTGAGAAAACGTTAACGAGGCAAGTAAAAGATCAAGTACATACAAGTTGAACGATATTAAGTCTCTCGTTAATTCTACAATTTTTTTTTTCTCTATTTTTTCTCTTCTTCTGATTGTGTCGCATTTTTCTTTTACTGTCTCACAAGAACTCTTTAAGCGACCTATTTTTTTTTCTTCCAAGCGATCTCTCAAGCAAGCTCGTATGTCAAACTTTTCGCCTTTTTGTAGAGCTCTACTACCATTCCACTACTGTCTACTCACTGGCACCTTTCTTCACTATTATCAAGAGGCTCATGTGGGGATCGATACGTACGTTTACTACTTACTCGCAACCTGTTTATACCTGAACTCTTCCGACCGCCTTCCCGATACTCGAACTACTTCGAACGGGCGAAACGGATGGTACATAAGCCTCGATGGCAGCCGCTGGGATATCTGAGCCGCAAGTTACGTAATAAATCGATTCTCCTCCAGGCTTCCTTATTTCTTCACCGCTTAAAACGTGAAGCTCTTGTTATTACCTTTAAAGCCGAGTCTCGGAGGCACGCGAAATATCACGAATTATATCAATCCTTATTGCTGTCGTTTATTGACTATCGTTACTGTTATCACACTCGCGTTCCTGTTGTCATTACTCTCCCTGTATATGATTCTATCACCGTCTCTCAATTGCCATTGTCATTTTCTTTTATCGTTTATCGCCGGTGTCGCTGTATCGTTATCGCTGTGTTACTCTCCATCCCCCTTTTTCCTCCGCTGTGTGCATAGCGCCTGTTACGAGCTTCATTTGCGCAGCTGCAATAAACATTATCGCGGAATTTTCTTCGCTCTGCACATACGCATAAAAGTTTTCTTGCAACGGTAACAGCAACAATAATCCACGAAAGTTTTTCTGCTGGCGCGCGTGCAGAATGCAATCTCAGACTTCAGGGATGCACGATAAGATTTTTTTTCCTCCCGCCATTCTGCCGTTCGTTCGGATTTACTTGATAATCACAATCGCTACTCCTGCAAATGCTTGCTAGAATGGCAATCCGCACATTAATGGGAAGATAAAGCAAATAAGAGCCTCCTTATAGATCTATCTGTCGTGTGTTGCAGCATGCTCGCAACACCTTGCTTCACACAGCAGGCTATAAATATTTAAATATTATATTCAATTAATTCAGAATCGCGCAATGTTAAAATAAATGTTACACAATCATAATTTAAAGTTGACAGACGACTCGTATACATTAACGCGGAAAGCATCCTACAGAGCTTTCTGCTAAATTAACTTTGCGGAAATAGAGATCATATATTTCCGTTCTTCAGGAAATGCGACATAAGCTCGCTGTAAGTGAAGCACGAGGAATATTTCGTCGGAAAATTATGAGACTCAACAACATATAAAAAGTTAAAAATAAATTTGGATAAAGACGACGTTAGAATAACAGCAATTAGACGACGATGAATCGGGATTCAAAGAAGAAATCTAAATCGTAATAAATCACAGAAATTTAAATCATAGTAAATCAATTATTGATTCGCATTAATAATATTATAAAAATGCTTGTATACGCCGTAATAAGAATTGCAGCGGACAAAACATTCTGAGATTGCACGAAAGTACATATCTTCCAAAGCTCGTCCTTTCTCCGCTTTTAAAGAAAGTGAGGAAAGAACTATTTGCGCAAACCTTTCGCGCTTTCTTGTTCAAACTTTACTATTACGCGAAGACACGATTCTTTGCACGTTCAACGGAGCATACGGCAGTACAATTATTACGTAAGTCGTTTGTTCTTATCGGGGCACCTGCGCCAGGTGCATTTATCATAACGGCCTTCTTCCTCGAGTATCTCTCGCGCTGTTATTCTTATTACCACAAGAAAAATTTCGTCAAATATTTTACGAACAACTAAACTCGTGGGAAAACGAGGCTCGACTTAACTGCGAGATTTATCGTGCGCATATTTTTTTTCTGAAATATAAATTTTCGCGTTATCTCCATAAAAGATAGAGAAATTGCTCCATGCCTGTTGATGTTAAATGTTTTGTGGGACTTCATAAAAATGCAATAATTATCATAACGTTATTGATGGATAATTGTATACCTCATATTTTCTTTTATAATTCTTATATTTTATATTTTTATATGCGACACAAAAATATGTGAAAATGTAACTTTTATTTGGCACAATAATTGAATGTACCAGAAAATCTTTAACTTCCTTCCCATTGTAATTTTTTAATCTATAATTATTTTTACAAGCGTTATATTTTTATAAACGTTTAAAATGTTCTATATAAAATGTTCTATTTAAAATATATGTAATTGTATATATAAAACATGTATATAAAATATTACGATTATACTTCTAACACAACATAAATAATTTTCTTTATCCCTATTATGCATTTTCTGTGACATACTAAGTGCACGTAAAATTAAATTCGTCTTCTTTTATATTAGAAATGCTTTCTATGTTCACTTTTCTCTATTTTTCCAAAGACAAGCATTTGCCTCATTTTACTGAAAGCATATAAAAGTTCAATTGAAAAACAAACAAGCTGTAGTCACGTTGACACGCTTCGTAGAATTTAGCGAGAATGCAGCGTGGTAAAAATTTATTGTCGAAAATATCATAAGTCACATGTAACTATCCAAACACACACACACACACACACGCATACGCATACACATACATATCTCTCTAATAATGACGTATCTTTTTCGTTTTTCAGAGCGAGGCGTAAACGCCGAAGCGGATGCGTTTTCCATGCGAGTTATACCTTTACTGCAGTTATCGACCAAAAAAACCAAACAGAAATAGAAAATAAAAGTTACCAACCATGATTGAGCACTATGTCCTCGTTTATGCCCATTTTAATTAATAACATTATTAATCCAAAAGAGCAAGGAGCGTACCAAATATAATTTTATGCGAGTTAAAAACGCAAAATCGAAGGAGAAGAGGGAATCAAGAAAGAAGAAGAAACGCATGTCCCGTCCTTCCGTTTGTTTATTCGGGACTTCTCCCTTTCGCCAATGTATGAGCTTAATAATTAATATGCATAAATTAATTAACACGATCGATATTTTATCGACGTGTTCCTTCAATGTTTCGCGTCAATGGCGCGTTTACGTGTTGCGTAAGGAAATTCTTACACAACTTACTAAAATCAAGCATGATTTTAAACAATGACAATTTTGTAATTTCTTCCTTGGCTCCTTGCCATTCTTGATGTATCCAAAATTCACGATCTTTATGAAATTGTATCACTAACTTTGTTATATTTGATCAGAAATATAGAAATATATTGAACGCACACATATGATATAAAAAGATGTTGATACGAATTATCACCAGATATTATTCTTGCAGCATTTTTTGCCATTGAAAGATTTTATTTTTTGATATTGCCATCTCACTGTAATGCCAATTGCAAAATCTTTAAATAATTCGATTTCTTTCTGCCACGTATAATCCAAACCGAGCTTTAAAATAAGTCTGTTTATTGATAAATAATTTTGTTGCTTAACGTTGATGGTTTCGAATTGGTTCATGCAAGTTTACTTTATCGGATCGACAGTTTCGTTGTCACACACTACGAGAGTTATTATTTTCGTAAGGCTATTGAAATAATATGGATGTTCCGTAATGCAACTGGTACTCAACACGAATCCGTCATTAGCGACGTCGTTAGTGACGTGTCGCAAACTGCATGAATTGGATGAGAATCTCGTGATAAAATATATCAAGTTCTATAGGTAAGTCTCCACATTTTTTTCCGGTAGGTTGCTCGCTCGTATAGAAAACATTATTATCATTTAAGTATACCTTACGTATCAATAACTGACAAGTAAAAACTTGTCGAGTTCCAAGAAATTAATCGATCTTCTAGCAAGCGCAGCAAATTCCGTCTCTCGATTTAAATGCTTTTGTGTAACAACTTTTTCCTTCTCGTTTTCGTCGCTTTATTCGGACGATTGGAGAATGTCGACTAATTCCTTTGCCATTCGAGCGGATTAATCGTCATTTGATACGTCGATCGAATTACTCGAATGGCTCGAAAGAAGTGAATCGAGTGACGAATAGCTACGTTACGTAACGATTAAATTTATATTGACAAGTTAAAAATCTACTTTCCTATACAAGAGCGATATAATGATCTAAACATGTAAAAAAATGCCGACATATATTATTTAAAGATATTTAACTTCTTTATTTTAACTTTAATTTATTTTCTACAATTTGCTAGATGACAAAATATTACTTTCTTGTTTATTTGACATTTTATCAAGAAAGAAGAATTAAAATAAAAAAAAATATATTGCTTTTTCTATACCTACACATGTGTGCATAAAACTAAAAATTTTAGATTTATCAAGTACATATATTTCTATATAGAATTTTTTCATACATTTTGCATAGAATTTTAATAATATTTTATGCACATATTACAATAATGCTACGATATATTTTTTATCATATATATTATTCATCAAACATTTGTGCAAACTTTTTTTATAAATTGTTTCGTACGTTAGAGAGAAAAATTATTTGCCGAATACGATCTCATAATGTAAAATTATTTATTCCTGGTTCCATTCAATTAATTAACGTATTTAATTGCATTTAGCGATGCTTTTTTAAATCTAATTTAGTTAAAAGCGCACGCAAATAAGTGCACACCTTCAGCAAATCGTATCTTGCCACTTTAGCTAGATCTTTCTCTAATGCATTGCCGCATAATTACAAACGTTTGTGATAGTATTAAAAAAAAAATGCACCAGTATCTCATTTCTGATATTAAATCCATATTGAATATTTAAGTCCATATCTTTGATATTAAGTAGGCGTATTATTGAATTTATATTTGATAAGTAGTTTCTTCTTTCTTAGAGCAGAAATCATTTTTCAGTTGTACAACGATACATTATATCGTCGGCGTCCGCGGATTTCTAGACAATCCTATTTGTATGGAACTATTTCCTTAATTGGATTATCGCGACAGCGAAGAGATTACGAAGCAAACGTATTGTTAAGCAACGCTTACGTCTTCGTGTATACCGCGACAATTCGTCTTATTTTTCCTTTGAAAAGTTTCTCGAGATTTATGCAAGTGGCGTTATATAAATATATACGGAATTCACACGATTATTGATTCCCATCGCGACGATCTGTATTTGCCGCATTTGCATTTGCTCACGTGTTTACCGTAGTGTGTTTTCGAAGTACCCATTCTCCAACGCAATTTAAATCTGAATACGTGGCACGCTCACTGCAGAATTATCTCCGCACAGATCAAAATTCGCGAAAATACATGCACATGCGATCTGATTAACATATTAATGCAGTTCAAATGCATACAAATGAAATTACGCTGTTTCAACACCGATCAACCGGCCGCGTCAATTTAAATTTCACGTCGCGGTCGGCTGTATTACCATAGATTGGCAGCTCCACAGAGATATTAAAAAGATTGTACGTTTTCCTCGATAAATATCGCGAATTTACACGAATGCGATGTTTGGAACTGCGAATAAAATTCACAAATTCACGCAATAGTCTCTTTACTATAATTGCGATTTGTTGCCAAATTGCAGCTTCTCTCTTTTCTTGCGCAAGCCAGCTCCCGTAAAATTTAACGCGAGATCTTAGAACAGTAATTGTCGACGTTTTGTACTAATGGTCTAACTCCTGTCTCTTTTTTGCTCGTTTTCTACGCTGCTCGATTCTGTAGCAGAAGGTGACGCCGAAGATCAAACGAAGCAAAAGTTTTCCCAATGAGAGCGAGACGACCGATCACATGGCCGAGCTGGAAGACTTGCTTTCTTCGAGATCAGGTACATTTTCTTCGTTCTATGTATTTAGTAAAAAGTGCAAGTCGAGACAATTCGAATCTGCTGCAACCAGATTGGTAGATTTAAGATATTTATCGCCGTAAAGCGATTATCCTGCCTTATAACTTCGCTCGTACATTTTTTATCGATCGCGCCTGCATCGCGTTCCAAAAGCAAGGCGTATAAATCACGCTCCATTCAATAACGAGTACATTCCGACTACATTCTAGCCGGTTTCATATATTCCTATTGTTCCGGAACGGGGATATGTCGCGCCTTGTTTCGCGAAACATACTATCGTGATTTCTATACGAGCGCTCCTTTCTTCGTCTGACAACGGCGGAATTTCCTTTCGCTCTATGCACGAAGATATATGTATACCTCTCGTCGTGGCAATTTGCCATTACCATTCAAGTCTGATGTACGAAAACCATCAATTTTGATCTCGCGATTAGACTAGACCTCCTCTATAGATAACGTACAAAAGCGCACTGCGCTCTGATATATCGCGAGGTAACATGCGATATCCTTTCACGCCAACTGCTTAAATAGTAAAAATAGATTTCAAAAAAATCATATCTATTTTTCAAAAGTCGAACAAAAATGTCGGTGTGATTCATCGATGCGACTCGTCGATGATAAAAATCGGAAAATTTACTGTGTCAAAAGCGATTAATTGGAATTCATTCAATCTTCGCGTATCTTCGAATCTCAAACGCCTCGATAAGAATCGTGTCAAGCGTTTATCAAAGATCTAGGGCGATCGCGTTCACGAATATGTCTCGCCGTACGCAGGGCTGACCGAAACCTCGACGAACAAACCGGAGATCGACGAGGACGAGGAGGAGGAAGAGGAGGATCACTGGAAGGACGCTTCTCCGCTGACGCCGATCTGCAGTCCGGCACGACGGCCCGCCAAACTCTATCATCGCGACAAACGATCGCCTACCAGATACGTTGATGTCGACAACGACGTCGAGATCATTCACGAATTCTATCCCACCACGTCCAAGACGATGCGCGAGGAGACGAGCATCGTGTCGTACGGCGGCACGATAATCGTGGAGACGACGAGGATACCCAGGCACGCCAAGGACGTGCCGACGAGGGTGGAAAAGGTAGCACCGAAGGTGAAATTAAAGAAGCAATCGTCCCTGGAGTTGGATCGCGTGCCTCCTGTTCAAGAAGAGCCGTCTTCCAGCGCGGAGGAAACGTCCAAGGTTACCGCGACAACGAGATCGGTGCGAGAGGCGGATCAGGAACGCAAGAAGAGTTTAAAGCGTCACAGCAGCGCGGAATCCGAAGGACGAACGTCCACGTCGAGGGAGACGCTGGAGAAGTCGGACACATCGTCGGAGAAGGGCGCCAAGAAGAAGGTCTTCACGGAGAAGGCAGACGGTAAAAAGCGATCGAGGAAATCGAGCAAGAAATCCGTCAAGGCCGAACAGAAGGTGGAGGAAGATTTGTCGAGGCGGAAACACGAAGGCGAGGAGTTTGCGAGGAAAGACGAGGAGACCTACCGACGATCGAGGGAGGAGAGGAAGAGCTTGAAGGAGCAGGAATGCATCGAGAGGGTGACGGAATTCCTGACGAGGCACAGCATTCCGTCTTATTCTGATGTAAATGTCGGCCTCGAAGCCGCGGAACCCTCCGTTCCCGAAGTCGTGGACGAGCAACTGGAGCAACGAGTCAAACGTCCATCGGCTATTAGCAAAGAAGGAGAGACCACAGGCCTCTCAACGACAATCGAAACGTCCGTCGCGTCCACAAAGAGGAGAGAGAGCCTGAAAAGTGTATCTGAGGTAATGGAGAAAACGAAGGATTCTCTGGGAGACTCAAAGCTCGCAAAGGACGCCAAGAGACTCTCGGAGAGCAAGAAGCAACGGCCAACTTTGGAAAGAACCGCGGCGGCCGTTTCAGAAGTTCGGCAACCCGAATCGACGGTTCAAGAACCCGCAAAACGACCGAGCTCGTTGAGGAAAAGGAGAGACTCCTTCTCCAGAGAATCCTCGAGGGAATCGTTGTTGGAGGAGAAAAAGGGTGTCAGGATTCAAGAGGACGTACAGGAGATCTTCTTCGACGATACGAGCGATCAGGTGAGTGGATCGTCGCGTATCCTAAAAGAATTCCATATATTTTGTTTTAAGCCGGTTTAATTTTCATGTGTAATTATCGCGTATCAGGTAACCGATCTGTTGCCGGAGGTCCACCTGGTGACTGCCAGAATCATCTCGGCGGAAGAGGCGTCGGCGCTTCGCTTTGAGGAGGCGGCCACCAGAATCAAGATCCACTCGCCGCCAGAAGTATATCTCGTTCCAGAGACGGTTAAAACAAAACTGACGCGGGCGCCGTCGCCGGAAGTCGTCGACGTCTCAACGTTGCAGCTGCCCGCCTTGGCGAAATCGACGTCGGAGAGTACTTTAGCGGAAGGCAGGCCCAGCTCCGACGAGGATCACAAAGTCTCCGTGAGAAATCTGAAGCCGGAGATCCTTTGGGATCTCTCGAAGGTCTCTGATAACGACGAAGAGGTCGAGGAGACGGGCGAGGACGGTAGAGACGTCAAGGAAAGGCGGCTCAGCAGAACCGGAAGCGAAGGCTCGAAGAGATTAGCTAAGCTTCAGAAACAGGAACAATTTCCTTTCAAAATCGGCAGCCTCGCGCAGCCAGACGAACCGGAACTGACGATCCTGCACGAAGGTCCGACAGAGAAAAGAGGAAGTGTCGGAGACGTTACGAGAAAGATTACAACGGAGAGCACGAAGGAAGATGATGGCATTTTAAGGTAAGACATTCCTTTGCTGCTTTCATAAATCTATCAGACACGTCAGAAAAGGTCACAGGAAACTCTGATATTTCTCTCAAATAGCAAGGAAAGTTCAATCGTTTAATTGTATAAAAGTTGTTTAATTTACTAATTATAAAGAAGATTGTTTTAGATGTAAATAAAGAAAAAAATGATGAACGAACGATTGTGCAGTAGCATAGAAAATTAGTTGATCTTATCGTGTATTGCCAATAATATATCGTCCTTTGTCATCGAGGAGAATATTTTGCATATTGTACGAAAACAAAATTATTTATCTTATAAAATATTCGATTACACCGGGAGGGAGGATTTCGGTCATCGCTCGCGTGGGCGAATGATCGATCGATCCCGCCACACGACGCGTGAAAAGAGGCAAAGGCAAACAAGTTTGTTTGCAGCATCGTAAATGCGGTCTGTCGATCGAATTATAAGTTCGAGCGACGTCGTTACCCGGGGCTTCGAATGTCGATTTGCAAACAATATTATTTACTCCCGTAGTTTGTCGCTCCCGATTAGGGTTGGATTACACGCATGGCCATAGAAACCCCGAAGTGCTCGTACAATTTACTGGAAAACTAGGTCACCGTTAATACGTCGGAATACTTTGCGCCCCGAAAAAATTCCAAGTATAGTCGAGCCACGCTGAAAAATTCATGATGATTACATTACGTCGCGTACACGATGTTAAATGTTGCTTTAATGTTGCTCGTATGTGTGTGGGACAAGGTCCGAAATTACGCGCCAAGTTTATGTTGCGTAAATAAAAAATTGCTATTCATATATATATATATAAATTTTTGCGAGATCTATTGTATATTAATACATCTCGTAACGTGACAGAAATAATGTAGAAGCTCGATTATCCAAACATAAATCTCATATTTATGACAAAACCGTCCAAAATATACAACAGAGAAGACAGAAAAAGAAAACTCGAACCACTTCTAATTTATAATTTATTGACATTAATTGAATTAATTGAACCAAAAAGAATATATTAAGTAAATCTACATCTCACATGAGAATTTCTATTTGCCAATTAATTTATTCATCCGCTTTCTATCTTGTTATGTTTAGAGAACGGGAAAAACAAGCGCTCCTTTTTAATTAGTCAAAAAGCAAAACGTAATCGGAAGCGACTTCCTTTAATTCTTCATCCAGCTTTTCTCCAGAAAACTTTTTCGCTGCCATTTACATTTACGATTTTACAAACTTCTCGCAGGATTGTGGGAGTTACACCCACGCAAGAAAGCACTTACCGTGGAGTGCTATTTTTTTTTATGAAGCGCTCGTATTCACATTGGGATCTCACGCGGCACACGCGAAGTTACGGTCCAAAGTTCGATGTGGTATTTATTTATTTTTTCCTATACGCCTGAAATAGTTCGGTTGTTTTTGCTGTATTTGTTTTTGCTACGCAATCAAGCAGATTTATTCGTTTTATACGCAGCAGATTTTTATCATCATCACACAGCTGCACTATGTGTGCGCGTAATCAATCTTGAAATTAGAAGTTTACGTAATTAAATTAAATTGCATTTATATAATACATGTCCGAAAGAGAGTCAATGGTGTAGTAATATCTACTACCATATATGTTCGAAAGATAAGCATCAGCACCTTTGAATACTTCATGATAGACCAGAAACAGCAAAGTAGAAAGAGACGAACAGAATCGGCCCTGCATTACAGACGAAATCGGACACCGGATGAGAACGTACACTGGTACACTCGATTCCGGGACGCAAAGTAGACGGGGGGAAAAATTCTGAAAGCTTAACCCAGAGTGACAGCGATGTCGAGGGGCGGCGAGGGAGGCGCAGGTCGAACAAAATATCAGGCCGAGCAGTAGAAAAGGGCGCAAAAGAGACCGGCATGGCACAATCGACGAAGTGGAGAGGGATAGCCGGAGTCAGCCAATGTCGAGCGCGAAGATACGTCGCGTAGATATGGGAAAGCCAAAGAGACGCAGTTGGAGAGACTGACTGACGTCGGGACGCTCTCGGAAAAGAGGGACAGAGACGGAGGCTGTGATGTAACAAGCTACGAGAGTAGCGAAAAGAGGTGAATGCAGCGGAACGGAGAGACGGGCGACCTCGGTTCCGAGGCACGGAGGACGGGTGAACGCGATGCATCCGGACAGATAATGCGGACTGCGAAGTAGAAAAAGACGACGGAGCTCAACCCGGCGGGGACAAACACGCGCGCGCACGATGTGGCATCGATGAGGATAAGAAGAGATAAAAGTGTCGTTACAAAAGAGCGACGGGGGGGACGTGGTGGAAATTGTAAAGGAGCAAAGACGGAGCGCGTTGCGCGACAGATAGAGAGGAGAGAGACGCGCGGAATTGCCGGTGGCTGTAGAAAGATAAGGCGTAAGGAAGTCAAAGTGGATGTGGTGGGCGGAGGGGGGAAAGACGGGAACTTCAGCGGTTAAAAAGAGGACGTGAGGTACAAAAGAAGCGGGAATAGCTGGTCGCGCGCGTATGGAGGAGGACGGATAAATGCGACGCGTAAGAAAAATACGGAGAGCCGAGTCGAAGCGTGTAACAAGCGCGAACGGGTATTGCAAGATATACATCAGAAATGAATGAGAGGGACCTCATATGTATGAGCGGAATCGTGTTCGTTATAAACGAGGCCACCGGTTTTCAAATTTTCTGTCGCCTTTCAACAACATTTCGCGAATAAACGAAGCGTATCTTTTTTCAATTAATTCACGTGAATCGTAATAAAGTTTTAATTTCGAGATTAATTACCAAAATGCGTAATATATCGAAAGTTCAAAATTTCAACTGCAAAAAAATACGCGACAATTACCTAAAAACTTTGACCTTAAAACAACTCCACTTTTGACAGAACACTACGTTACGTGACGTCGTGAAATATTGAAGCAACTCCAGCATGGATGTATGAATATGAAATACACGCGAAATACGTAATCGTGTTATTTCTCGAGAATTGACGAACAATTTGCGCTAATTGTATGACATCATTCTCTCTCGCTAGGCAATTAAGTTGTTCTCTACTAAGACGCTTTGATCGCATTCACGGCACTAACCGTTGCTCCACGTCTCAATATTCAGAACGTTATTCTAACGTCATCGATTGCATCATTTCGCCTGCACGTGACAACATTCGTAATACGTAATTGAAGCAGCGTCGTGTATCCGAATCCGAAGTAAATTCGAACTTCGTTATGCATTTTCTTAACGTCAGACTGCGATAAATCCGACCCTGCGAAGCAGAGCAACGTCTGATGGAGGGAGGAAAGACATTAGAGGAAAGGAGAACATATACAAACAACTCGCATGCATATACGTGTATATGCACACGGAATGGGATAACCCGCAAGAGAATATGTTTATTCTTAAGTTTCCTCGTGGTGCTTCTATTAAATATGCACTCATATACATGCATATACATGTTGAATACTGCGTCTGCGTATGTATTATGTACCTATGCACGTGGAGTTTCTGCAAAGGTCGCAAGTTATCACTTTAATTTGGCGAAGGGATAATCTTAATCTTTATAACGTTACTACTACTGCCATTTGAGCAGCGCTGTGCTGTGTTATATTACTTTCATTCGTTACATAATAACCAGTTTCCATCGAATAATTAGTCAGCCCTTGAACAAGAAGCTTTTGATAAAATAATTATGCTTACGTAATGATTCTGTATGAAGATTGAAAATGTATCATTGAATGGGCAGCGAGAGCCGCCATCATTCGCGTCAATAACGCTTACGTCGATTTTACATTACAGAGTCAAGTAATTTTTGCTGACACGTTAAAGAGAAATCAGTTTTTGACAATAATTAAAATTGAGGAAAATTGGGAGTGCTAAAGGTACTAATTGAAATTAAGGTTCTTCAATTTAGCTGACTAAAAATATTTTCGTCGTTCCGCGAAAAGTTACTGTTACCAATCCCGAGAAATTCCGCACCGTTCGACAATGAAGCTCGTCGTTTATCGAAAATTGACTCGGCAGATACGAGCCGTTCGGATTACTCCCCTGACTACATACGCCTACAACACACACATACACATATGCTTAAACACACACGCACATAAACGCGATGCATAACGAAGCGCGCACGTGCATATCCAAGCACGTACCTTACTGCCTACATTTCGGCGCGTGTATACACGTGAATCTCCCACGCTCGCCTTCGTAAGTCAGCAAATCCGTACGTGTTTCCGATATACACGCACACGCCGATTTCGATTTCGCTCAACCTCCGCAATACGAACTTTCAGCTATCTCATTGTCAGTCAGTGTATAGAGCGAACGACCGCGTAGTCGTACGCATTCAACACACATCCATACACTCTCATTTCTCGCGAATATATGCATTATATATGTATATGTTTATGTACCACCTTGTAAGTTTTTCCATACGCGCAGGTGTACATACATATTTTCACGTTTTGCTGCCGTACACATTCATTCCTCTTTCACACAATTAACAGACATATGTAACGTCTGTTACGTGTGTCTGTTAATGCACACGTCCGAAAGATATTTTTAGAAAATCTTGAAGCTTTCTGAATAAATGTTATTTTCTAAGAGACTTCTTTTTGGTATGTGTATGTGGTGTGTGAAGCTGTTTACATACTTTAAATGGACATCGCCTATTTAAATATAAAATGTCATGAGTAACCACATTTTGTAGATTTTATTATATTTTGAAAGATTACAAAAAATGTGCGTCATATGTTACATAAAAAATATATATATTATATATATCATACAAAATATATACATATACATATAATTTTTTATCTATTAACAATAATTGTAAGATTTTCGACAAGTAGACATCAATAATTTCAAAACGTCTTAATATCTCTTGCAAAAAACATATTGTGTTCTGTCTCTTTCTTTTTCTTCCATGTACATAACTTCTATACATATAAAGAGCGATGCACAAGGTGTCTCAGAAAATGTATGACAGTACTTATAAGACGAGATTATTTCATTAAAATAAAATAAAAAATAACTTTTTCTTATCAAAGTTGAAAACTAAATATAATTGATGAATTATTATTTATCATTAAAGATTGAAGAGTTTTAACGAATTAAGCTGCATGTGTGCATAATAAGCTTATAATCTCTTTCAATTAAACATAATATTGATTTATTTAAATTTTGGAGGTTAATAATATATAGTTATCAAAATGCCTCAATTTGAGAAAATTAGATAAAGATGATCTAAAATTATCAAAATTAAGGGAAAATCTTCAGAACTTTTTTAGGTTTAGGCGCGATTTAAAATTGCATTAAGACACAGACTTTTTAGCTCATCGACTTTCAACATAGATTTATTTTGTTCTACTTGCAGAAGAGCTTGAAAGTTTTCAATCCGTTTTTTAACATTCTTTCTGAGTAAAACATAGTTCCGTCTTTGGTTGGGCGATTCAGTTTCAAATGAATTTAGAGAATTCTCTTCTCTTCAAAAAATCGATAAAAAAGATCGCCTTATTGTCGTTACGTAATATCTCCAGAACACTTTGCATACGGGTTACGCACACAAGTCAACCCCGTGCGCACACGTGCACACGTGCTCAATGAGCGGTAGGTACAATGCACGCACCAGCTCATGTACGCACGTACGCAGAATCACTCCCTCACCGGCGCAGAGCGCGCGCACGCACCGAATACTCCGCGAGAGTATTCTACTCTCGCGAGTAGTCGTCCGCGCCTCGCGGCAGTCGGCGTTCGGCGTGCGTCCACGCTCGGCACGTTATCGTCGCGTTTGCGCGACCGTCTTACATTTGTGTGCGTGCACACATTATATGCGTGTTTACGTGTGTATGTCGCTTCGCGGACCATCGTGTACGTGTGCATGCGCTCCGTGACGAGAGTGTTATTTATTAGATCAGAGGAAGCCAGTTTGCAGTGACGCACGGAGTGCCGGTCGTCGGTGTGATACACGACAGTGAACACCTCGACTCGCGCGACGTAAGGAAGCGAAACGTCTCTCGAGGTACGGTGGAATTCTTTTCGCGTCGCGTTCTCCAACGAGATCCCCAAGTGTCCACTCGTACACTCACCCCTTTCTGCTCACGACACATACCCTTGAGAGCGACGATCCTCGAGAAGTGTTTGCGATCTGTCGGACAGACAAGACCGGAAGCGAGCGACAACGTCGTTTGGATAACGGAAGTTGGAGAACGTCGCGTAAGCGCCGTTCTTCGCGCGATAAAACGCGCGAGAAATGTTTGACGTAATTAATCTTAGCACCTTTCGCGCGTCACACATAATATATATATGAAAACGCCACGAGCAGGATTCCTCTCATCTCACGTTTAATTATGAATTCCATAGATGACGTTTATTCAAATTAGAGAATTATCGATACACGATCAGTTACGTAAAGATTCTCCAATCGCTCTTCGTAAAATTCGAGATATATATAGTTTTGCATAAATTAGATATTCTTCGCTGTATCAAGAAATTGATATGGAAGGACGCAACGTAACGAAATGCGTTAGGAAATTTTAAACGAGATTTCACACAAGTTTCCGCAACGTGAGAAATATCAGAGTTCGCTCGAGTTCATGGTTCGCATTTCAGACTTCGCTCTTTTTTGTTAAATATGTATCAAGCAGACGCGTAATACAGCGGCAAAGTCTGAAAATACGATTTCACGTTGATAATGGATACGATAGGAATCGAAGCGCGGTCCCCCGAAGCTCGAGAAAAATCTCCGGGATATTTTCAGTCGAGATATCATAACGTTCGGGAGATTTTCTGCTAAAAGCAAACACAGTGGTAGGTCTGTCACGTTCCGCGCGCGATTTATACTGTTCACGTGTGTACATATCGAAAATGTGCGCACGTACTGCATCGAGAATATCGTTCCAACACACGCAAACAATAAGCCCATCTATATTATCATCCGTTATACAATCCCCTCATTTCAATTGCATGCTACGAGAGACATTTGCGACGAGAGATAGCATGACGTGAAATTTTTATCCTTTTAATTGCATTTTTATTTTACAAAGCGCGTCAAAGGGGATAAAGAAACGGGAAAATATAAAATCCTTCGTGTTCTATTACCAATCGTGTTAATTATGTCAATATTAATCTTGCATTTGTACAAATATTCTCTTATCGAGCCAATTAAAAAAGATAATCATATTATTTATTTCTTATCATAAGCTGTCGTATCAGTATATTCATTTCTGATTAAATCCAATCATATTTTCACCAATAGTATCGCAAAAATGTTTTATATCGCCCGTATGATCACAACGAATATAAATAGCAAAATTATTTTAATTTTATTTTCACATTGTGAAGAGCGATAATTCCAGCGATAAAAATCGTTTTTTATTTATATCGAGTGTCGAGTATTCGACAGTAGCGAATGACCTCGGCAATCGGCCAGTCTTTTTATACCGCTGACTATTGCGCCGGCCGCTAACAAGCGAATCGTTGCAATTAAGAAAGCCGTTGCACGCAATTATCAGACGCCCAAGATTCGTTCACTGTCCGCGACGACTTTGTGTGCCGGCGTTTTTCTTTTGCCACGTATTAAAACGCTCGACACGAAGCCGTCGACTGACCGCGCGATCGCGGGTTTCGCTTCCGTTTTGTGACCTTTGGTTTTCCTGGTTTCTCAAGTGAGTTCCAAGTTCGACGCGAATCCAAGGGATCCATCCGCGTTCCAAAGGACTTCGCGACTCCTCGCGAAGTTGCTGACAGTGCGATTCCAGCGAAGGAAGCGCGTGATTATGAACAGACTCCTTCGAGAGAGAGACGCTCGCCGTTGGAGGAAGCGATTCTTAAGCACGAGGAGGATCTGATCTGCAAGGAGCATTCGCTCGAGTATCAGAGTCAAACGCTCGAGAGCCAATCGGACCATCTGTTTCACGAGGTATTCACTACCTCGGTGGAGGATTTGCTAACAACAGTGCCTGAGAGTTGGACCCGCGAAGTTTACGAGGAAAGTCTCGACGAGGTCGAGCAGAGCTTCAAGGAGACGCAGTACTCGCCTAAGGAGAAGCGTGATGTACAGACGCAGACTGTGCAGGAATCGAAGAGCACGCAGTGCAGCCCCGAACAAAGTGTGACAAGCCCGTGCGAGGAACCGCCCAGGATCAGCCCCTTCCACATCGGCCAGAGGTACTTCCAGAGTCCCAAACGGGAAGTGCAGACGCAGACTCAGGGCGAGAACAAGAGCGTCCAGTGCTCGTTGGACAATCTGGGTGATCTTACGAGAAGCGACGCCACGTTCTCGGATCAGGAGTCGAAGAGCATTCAGTGCATCCCGGAGGACATCTCCGCGAGATCGTCCGACAGGTCGAGGTCCTCATCTCGCGAGGACACCCTGCGCAGCCCGCGACGTGAGGCCGAGGTACAGACCTACCAGGAGTCGAAGGCGATCCAATGCAGCGACGACGAGCTGCTCGAGGCTGATCAAGCGTCGAGTGCCGATCGTCCGGAGCCCGCGCATCAAAGTAGACCAGCCAGCTCGCCCTCGTCGAGCTCGAGTTCGCCACGCAAGTTTCCGACTGTCGTCTTCGTGGAGGCCAAGGGGGACATGACCGTCACGCACAGGGAGCACGATGGCGACGTCACCTGGTCGAAGCATTGGGGTCCCGAGAGATTGGTCGAGATATACAGAGAGCCGAAGGCCAGCCTAGGGCTCAGCATTGTCGGTGGAAAGGTATGATATAGCGTTTAATGTTTAACAGACAATATACTGATCAGAGTATACTGATAGTATATTGTCATTACTTAGAAAAATTAAAGAGAAATATAAATCGATTTTTACAAAACTTAAATTAGACATTAAATAGCGTTTTCAATCATCTTTTTGTTAATATTTTCTAATTACGATATGTCGTATTTCTCTTGATACATTATCTATAATTGCTCTATGAGTATTGATCTAATTTACAACGTGAGTATCGCACGTGCTCGCGAGACTTATTTTTATAAATCCCCGAGATTCGATCGCAAAAGATAGATAATTCTGTGAATTATTAGTACGTTCTCGCGCGTGGTCGACCACAATTTTTCGTATTCCTTTTATTAGTGCGCAACGGATATAGCCGCGAGCAGACGAGAGCTGGCCCCCGTCGATATCGCCCTTGGTGTTTTATAGCTCGCTTTTAAAATCGGGAATGCTACGACGGAGTTATTGAAACATTCGGACAGAGTTGAAGTCGAAGTAGGTCGGGCCAGATGGCCACTAGTAAACGGACGTCTTAATGGATCTATCTCGCGCCGGATGATCTGTAACTTAATAATTCGGTCCGATAATTAATTTTGGATTTTAACAAGTAATAAACTGTCACGTGCACGCATTTATGACGGGCTTCAGGCGTGAGTGGGTTTAATAGATTTGACCCCGCGATCCCGCGAATTAATTCCTCATACGCGACGCGGGTTAAATGCTTTTTATTGATCGACATCGAGCGGTGCGGATCGGGAATGCTAGTTTGACGAATAGAATTTAATCAATTAATTCTTTATCAGATATGGGCTGCATGTGCATCGGTGAAGTGCATTAATGCGCAGTCAGATAGTTTCTCGACGTTAAACTGGCAAGAAGGCGTAATAGGATCATCGGCTTTAGTTTAAACCAATCCGTGGTTGTCTTAAAAGCTCTTCAAAATTATGTTTTACACAAATTATCGGAATACTGCGCATTCGGGTAACATATAACTCCGAATCCAATTAAACTATATAATTATTTGCTACCGCCAGTTACAAGGAGATAATTGATTTTGGGAAGGATTATAATCCACCGATACCTAAATAATGTAGCGATCGCGCAAAATAGAATTCGCCACTAATTAAATAGGGATACGTTTGTTTCTCTACTCGTGAACAGGGAAGAGAAACACACAATCGATTATTCGATACACAGACTGAATTGTGGTGTTAAATAATTGCTTTAATTCGATTAGCGCACGACGATGCGGCAACAAACCAATGGGAGATTAATGAGAATAAATGACCGGGGGAGAATCAAAGCGGGGAGGTTCGGAAATCACGGGGTTGGAATCTGTCTCAAATGACCAGTGCCTGGCGACATAACCCGGGAGTTAACAGAGTTGGGGACAGAGTCGTGGAGCGACGCTGATTAAATCTAACTGTGATTAAACTGTGAACTGTCAGCGGCTGAATCGACTAATCACGACTCTGTTGATCTTGCCGGTTAACGGGACTTAAACGAGCGGGCGTTAAACGACGATTCTTGTTTCAGGTCGATCTGCATAACGGCGGACCCAGCAAAACGCAGAACATTTCTGGGATATTCATAAAGAATGTCCTGCCGAACAGTCCGGCTGGTAGAACCGGTGGTCTCAAGGTAATGCGGTTTCCTCGAAACGATCCTCTTTACCGTCTACCGCGGAAATTGTATTACTTTATTCAAGTAGTCCCTAGGTTGCAAAAATATAAAAACTTTAATAAAGTTGGGAAGATAACTACGCGGTTTTTGCCTCAGTAAAGATTTTATCTCGGCAAAAATTCACATTTGTACGAATGTGCACGCGTTTCAGTTTAAACGGCACGGACAGCACTAGACGCGTTTCGGTCTATAAATTTTGTTTCCTAAAAATAAATTTATAAAATTTACTTTAATTTCGTGATTTTGATGCTACTGCCACATTTATCGTTTTCAGCTTGTGAATTTTGATTTAAGCAGCATTATGGATGTGTAAAAATTTAATCTACAATCGTCACGATGTATCTCGACTATGCATGGAATTGATTCGTTCTTTCGCGTACGCGCGTGCTTTCAGATTGGAGATAGAATAATTGAGGTGGACGGCGTCGACTTGCGGCACAGTACGCACGAGCGGGCAGTGGAAGTTATACAAGCCGCCGGAAATCCTGTCAGCCTCCTCGTCCAGTCCTTGGTGAATTTGGTAAGATCTTGATCCCGATCAGAAATATTGATGTTTCCGCTTTACCCGTTTTCTCGAGCTTGAGTTTATCGGCCAGCTTTAATGTTGTTACAAAAGTTTCTTGAACGCTGCTTCTCTTATCGTCCAAAGAGGACTTTCATCTTCCACCGATGTCCTCGATCTTTTCCATTACATTTGACAATTATGCGAGATGTAAGAGAGAAAGAGAGAGAGAGAATCTGACGATCTGGGAGAATATTAAGTTTCTTTTTCATGCGAATATCGCTATCTTCGTAAGAAAACTAATCATGGCCAGCGAAAATAAATATTCCTTTTGAAACGCGCTTCCTGTCCGCAAGTCTGTGTTATATTCCTATTGGAAGTACCTAAGCTTTATCCTGGCTCATGAAAAAGTATCTACATTCCTGAGGGGAATAAATTCATGACGCGCAGCTAAACCCTTTACAGCCGCTTAAATTTACGACGTTGCTTTACTTCAGTAATTCTCGTACACGTTGTTTTATAGTCTGTAACTTTTCACGATGTGCCCTTTTTTTACATTAAGCAATTTTTGCAAGAAATAATTTAAAATATAGATAACGTGCCAAGAGAAATAGGATTAATATTTTCAATCAAAGCTTATTGAGATGAGATGATATTAAAGCCTGATTCTCACTATCGGTCAAGTCCGGTCAAGGTCAGATCACGGTCCGGTCAAAGATCGTTGCCATATTAAATTCAACGCGTTTTCGAGTTTGCATTCACACTGCAGGTCACGGTCGACCGTCGCTCGGTAGTGTGAATGCAAACTCGAAAAAGCATTGAATTTAATGACAACGATCTTTGACTGGACCGTGATCGGACCGTGACTGGACCGTGACTTGACCGATAGTGAGAATCGACAAAGATATCACGTCAACTTTTACTTGTCGGATTACCTTGCAGTCAAATCTCTTGAAAATTACTGGGACGTTATTAATGTCCTTTTAATTAAATATCCGCTTAATATTAATTAATTTCGAATACATAAATTTAAAATTTCATAATCTACTTTCTATCTTACTGTCTCCGGTTCGCAATTATTACTTCTGACATTTCGCAATGTAATCTAAGGATTATTCCGCTCGCATTTAACGACAATCTACGCGCAAACGGAAAGTCAGATTTCACTTCGACCCTTCGGTAAGAGGGTCGCCATTATAAATCCACGCACCGCTGAGCTAACTCGATTTACAAGGCACGAAAGTTTCATCTTGCAATTAACTCGTGCCCGACGATCGATTTCGCTAACCGGACGTTAACGCCGTCATCGTAGTTCCACGCAGGGTTCGAAATTGAACTCCGTAATGTCGTTGAATGGCAGCAGCCCTAGGCGTTCCGCCGTTTAACGTCGCTCGCCTGCCTCCAAAGCATCGCCAATAGACACATTACGCGAAATTGGATGCGGGAGCGGCGCGACGCTGTGTGACGGTACTTGCGAAATGCAGTGATACCCAAGTAGACACACTCACGGAGCGTAACGCAAACAATCCTACCGCCCGGCGACATTTATTATCCTGCTGTACCATCGCGAGTTTTATCCGAGGTTTATCGTGAATGTTTATGTCCTCGAGCGCGAGATGCACCGGTTCGAGCTCTCTTGCGCCTTTTTTATATTGGTATCCTAAGATCGGATATGCACGTTCGAAATGACGCTGGCACCGATGTAAATTTAACATTGACGTCTCGGATTGTTGACGTGGACGCGCGCTCCTCCTCTACGCCCCGCTAACGTCTACGTAAATGTAGATTTCGCCCTCGCAGCGGCAGACGATAAATTCGAAGAGCGATGCGAGCGCAGTATCTCGAACGAGCTCGTATTCTCGACGGTAAAAATGTACAACGATCTGTCGCGACTCTGACACGACCTTCGCGTCTAGCGCGGTCCGAGCTCTAGGGACGGCTAAAAATTAACATTGAGCATCGACATGCATGTTGTTCAATAGCGTATTTATATTGGCGAAGCCTAATATAACTTCCTCCGCGCGATCATCGTCGATCATCGTCGTGTTATTTTTGGCTTCACCGAAGAGCACGAACTATTTTTTGATGCCTCGAAATTAGCTTGAAACGAACGTTGGGGAGAGACAAGTCAACTTCACTACCTGGTTTGTACGTTATCAAGTGCCGCTTCACCGTAGGTGTCCCTGTGATAACACCTGTTTGCCGCAGTCGCGACGGTTAGTGAAACGCACGGTTCGCGATTGGTGGTATCTGAAAACGACATCGACTTTTCCCGAAATTTCAATCAGCCGTGCGCTCGATCGATACTCTCGGAACCGCCGATGCGGGAAGAATGGCGATGCCGAGATACATACGCGATCGCGAATGAATTGGAGGACGGAGAGAGAAAGCAAGAAGGAGAAGAAGAGAAGGAGCGGTGAAGGCGCGAAAGAATAGGATGGAGAGAAGATAGGAGGAAAGAGCGAGAGAGATAAATAGAGAGGAAGAAAGAGAGAACATGAGAACCATTATTGGCGAACAGCTCTTGTTGCAGATGATGCACCTGGGTCGATCTTCCCAATAAATCTTTACAATGAGGGGCAGCGAGGGGAAGCAGGAAGAGAGAAAGAAAGAGAGAGAGAAAGAGAGACACGACGATGATGATATGTAAAGTCAGGACAAACGCGGAGAACAAGGGATGGGACGCTGGTATTGTAAAGACCTTAGCTAATGTCCGTGATCCACCGACTATATTAAAAGATGCAAGTTCCTCATCAATTAACTTGAATTAATTAA